TCTGGAGTGAAGGAGCCCCTGAGATAGAATGTAAACTGTGTCTAAGCTGTAGTTCAGAAATATGTAAGTGTCCATCTATCCATTCATTCACCAACCTATTTATCATCCATCCACCCACCTATCCATCCATCCATCAATCCATCCATCTATTCATCCATCCATCCATCCACCCATCTATTCATTCATCCATTCACCTGCCCATCCATCCACCCATCCACTTATCTACTTATCCATCCATCCATCCATCAATCCATCCATCCATCAATCCATCCATCCATCAATCCATCCATCTATTCATCCATCCATCCACCCATCTATTCATTCATCCATTCACCTGCCCATCCATCCACCCATCCACTTATCCATCCATCCATCCATCTATCCATCCATCCACTTACCCGTCCTTCATCTGTCATCCATTCATTCATTCACCCATCCATCCATCCAACCATCCACCTCCAACCCATTCAACAAACATTTTATTGAGCACCTATTGGGTGCTAATTCCTGGAGCTACAAGTTGGAACACAGAAGAGATCCTGTTTTCAAGGAGTTCATAGTCTTCTATGTAAGAACTGGCAAACAAACCAGTGATTACCGTGTAAAATGACAAGAGCATGATAGGGAAGCCAGGGACCTGTGAAGACAAAGAGGAAGATGGGGGCTGAAGGAAGGAAGTGAGGGCTTAAGCTGTAAACTGTAATCTGAGGAGGGTAGGAGTGGAAGGAAGTGGGGTGTGGAGGAGCAGGAGAGAGAGTTCTAGATAGGGGGAAGAGCCTGTAAAAAGAGCCTGGTATTTTCAAGGAACTGAAAGCAGGTCCATGTGGCTAGAACAAAGTAATGGGATAGATGGTGGGGCTGGGGGCAGAAGTTGAGGCTGGAGTTGTCAATGAGAATCTGGACTTCATCCTAAGGGCAATGGGGAGGTATGGAGGGATTTTTGAGAGGGGAGAGCCTTGCTCAGATTTGTGTTTTGGACAGATCTCTGGGCTTTAGAGAGGAGGGGTAAGCCTAGGAGCTGGGAGATGAATATGGGGCTGTGGTCCAGCAGGGAGATGGAGGAGGTATCCATGTGGATGGCGATGAGGGGATTGATTCAAGACACATCCAGGTGGCCTACTGAACAGGTCTAAACCAAGGGAGGGGAGGGAAAGCCAGGATAAGGATGCCCCTGTGTTTCTGCCCCAAGGAATCAAGCAGACCAATGACCTGTCAGGATAGATTGACTCATCAGTAAGCACATCAGGCCCTTGGGACAAGGGAGTGGGATGTATTCTGGGATTAGGGGATGGGGATAACATTTGGGACCTTTGCATCTCAACCACCATGGGCGGGACAAGGCAAATCTAGCTTCAGCTGTCAGAGGACAGAGCTCAATGGATAACATCCTTACTGGAATGCTCCAGGCAAGTCATTGTTCCTCCTGGAGCCTCAGCGGACATGGGTTGCCATCTCAGTGACAACTGTCATGTGCAGTTTGAAGATGATAAAGAGCCTCTATCCTAGCAACCTGACCCCCGCTCAATGGCCTGGGGCTAAGTTCTTGGGGGTTGTGACAACAGCATCCCTGGTTCTGTCCCAGCCGTACTCAGAATCTGGCTGGTGCAGTCCCTGCAAGCTATAGTGGGGGAAATACTGATCCTTTCTAGTCCCCAAGGGACTCCCTGTGGCTGTGGTCTCGGGGCCGGGGCAGGAAGGGTAGCAGGTGCACAGGCGGCATGTCTGGCCAGCTTGAGTCAGAGGTGTTGAGACAGGCAGTGACTCGGTCCTCTTCCTCCCACTCAGGTCCAATGCTCCTTTAACTCTGTTGTCCTACTGGGCCTGAATCTGGCCTGTTGCCTGCCTGTGACCTTGCCCTTCCTCCAGAGCCTTCTCCCCTGTCACCCTCTATAGAACTCTGCCTCACTGCTGCCTCCTCCAGGGAGCATTCCTGATTCCCCTGCCCGATCTCTGAGCCCTAGGGTCTGCACAGCACCACAAAGGTCTCTCGAGACCCTTAGCATCGTCCCAGACTCCAGGACATCCCATCTGGAAGGTCCCCTGGAATCCATTTCATAGCTGGGAAAACTGAGGAGGAATAAGGCAGTTAACCCCTGGCAAGGAAACCACCTCAAAAATGTCCCTGGTCTGTGCTGCCTCCCAAGGAGGTGGAGAGGCGGGCTCTGCACTCCACGGTTTCTCCCCAGGCCCTGGCTCCAGCTCACCTCCTTGTCCTTCGTTCAGTCCCCTCTGTCTCCGTCAAGCCCCATTGAAAGCCCCACTGTGTGCAGGCGCTGGGGGCACACACAGTGGACGTGCCCCTGCCCTCACGGAGCACACGGTCCCGCTTGTCGCATCAGGACCATGTCTCCCACCAGAGTTCTGTGCTGCTTCTCTCACTTATCTCTGCACATTCCCTCCTTTGCACTCATGCTAAACACTTGTCTCCTGTGAAATGCTCGCCCCTCCTTCTCTTGGTGTGAATCCTCCCAGCCTCAAGGCCCAGGTTCCTGACCACTGCCTCCACGAAGCTTTCCAAGATCTCTCAGCCAGAAGCAACCTCTCTCTGCTCTGGGCCCAACAGCCCTTTACCTCACGTGCACATCCCTGTGTTGGGGCCAGGCCCCGTGCCCCTGCAGCCACAGCCCCGGTACAGCACCTGACGCACAGCAGGTGCGCCCTGGTATGTTTGCTGCTCTGTTCCCTTCCTTGCCAGGGATCTGGCACCAGCCCGGAGCTTGTCCAGAATCTTCTTTTCCTGCTGTCACAACCAATTCCCTAGAAGTGACAGGGGAATTTGGGTCATTCTGGAGAAACATTCTGAGTCTGTGGCAGAACAAGGGGGACTCAAACCCCGCTCAGGGAGTTTCCCCAGCAGTGGGACTGGGCGGCCTCGCTGGTAATAAAGTTGCTAATCATCAGCACCACAGTCCCTTCCTGTCCAACACAGAAGGGCATTCTGTGACCCCTGTGGCAGGTGGAGAAGCCACTGGGTGGAGGGCATGGAGGACAGAGAGGGTCAAGAGACACTACTCATGAGAAGCAGCATCAGCAGAGACATCCTCTGGCCCTCCTGGGACCCAGGCCCTCCCCAAGCATCTTGGGATGTTTGCATTCCTCCTGGCCCAAGACTCTTCTGCAGGCCAGAGTGGCCCTCTCCTAGGCTCATGGAGGCCACCAGCACCCCTTCCCCAGCCCAAGCTGTCCTCCTCCGACTCCACAGGGTGGGGACTCCTGGATGCTCCTCTGTGCGGCATAGAGGCTGTCCCCACTTTGTGCAGGAAGCTTCTGCCAAAGATTAGCACAGGCAGGAAGACTCCCCCTCCCTCTAATCTTCTCTGCTGCACATGCAAATGGCAACCTGTCCCAGAGACAGGAAGGATGGCCCAGCCAGTCTGGGGGCAAAGAAACCCCCCCAGCTGTGGCGAGAAGAGTGGATGATGCAACCCTAAGAGAAGTAGAGAAATGCTGGTGTGAGATCCACTGGGAGGACCCCAGCTTTCTCAGATCTGTCGTTTTGGTGGGGTCCCCTGGGACAGTCCAAACATCCCTCTACAGGTGATGACATAAGGCCCAGAGAGGGTCTGTGAGCTGCCCAAAGTCATACGGCAAGACAGTGACAGATGATCCTGCTCAAGGGAGGTCTTGCCATGGACCAGGAGGCGAAGCAGCCCCAGCCTGCCAAGGTGGCCCTGGGGGAGGAGAAGCGTTGGCCTCGCCCTCCCACGACCACGTCCAATGCATGGCTTCCTCTTCCAGGTGTCCAGTGAGGACTCGCAAGGTGACCGTCTGAGCACCAGACGGTCCAACCCCCGGGGTTGGATTTCCACAGACAGCACATGCTGTGGTTACCATCCCTGCTGATGAAGATGTGACAATGACTCCAGGTTAACACAGAGCCAGCTGAAGTGAGAAGGCCACGTGCACCCCATATTGTAGAGCCGAGTGTCATCTGAGCTGCTCCTGGGGGGACACTTGGGAACAGAGAGGAGCCAGACCCAGGTCCCACCTGTCAGAACCAGGGTCCAGGTCACCCTGCTGAGATGCTGCCCCCTGGAAGCAGGCATGAGACTCTCCTCCTGATGAAGGGACTCCCGCCACCTGGCCCAGGGGAGCTCTCAACAGACAACTGGCCATTTTCTCTGGTGGCCAGGGGAGTGGCCTGATGCAGGGATGCTGTGGCCCATGGAGTACATGGAAAGTCTGCTTAGGGCACGGTTCACATTGGACCCTGACCACGTGTCCACTGCAGACCAGGCCCTCAGAGATCCTTGCATTCTGATTAGCAGCCCTGGGGGAGGGGCCCCATGTTGGGGTGCTGGGCTTCCCAATCTACAGAGGTACCAGTTTGGACTAAATGGTGATTAAAATCTGTGGTTCGGGGCCCAACCTGGGGAAGCACCCACAACTAAAGGCATCTGGGCTCCAGACCTTTTTCAGAATGAGTGGAGCTGGGGTCCCCCCTGTAAAGACATCCCTGTGGCTGTGCAGCCTGCTGACTCCTCCCTCCAGGAAGCCCTCCCAGTGCCCAAAAGCTTCTCCAGGCCCAGGCTAGGCAGTTCCTCTTGGCTCCTACCTGGCTGTCCCCCACCTTCCCCCCACACACAGACATCATGCATGAAGGAGGCTCACCAGCCTCAGAGCAGAGGCCAACCTGATTTAGGATAGAGGCTTTTCAGTTCTGCTAATAGAGGAACCAAGAAATGTCCCCGTGAAAGGAGAAGTGTGTCACTGCCACGGCCCCCAGACACACATACCCGACCTCTGTCCCTAAATTAAGTGCCCATTCTCTGGAAAGCCACAAACATTCCAAGACTGGACTTGTGCTGAATCATCTCAAATCTTCAGACTCCACTGGTGTAGGGAAGGATGTGTGTGTGTGGGTGTGTGGGGGGGGTGACAGGAGGTGGGGCAAAATCCCCGAAGAGGTTAAATAGGTCACCTCCACGCGTGGCTGCCATCCTCGCCTCCCCCCCCGTGCAGAAGGACACACACTCGCAGTCTCCTGGGCTCCTGGCACCATGATTCCCTTGAAGATGCTGCTCCTGGTCACGCTCCTCCTGGGGGCTTCTCTGCAGGTCGCCCATGCAGGTAAGAGCAGAGGAGACGTGGCCAGAGGAAGGGACACTGAGACAGGAGTGCTGAGGGTGTCAAGATCGCGGCCGCAATGCCCACTACTCTTGCAGGAGTTACAGCCCAGCTCTTGCTCCAGGGACGGAGGAGGCTGGCAGTAGTAGGATTCTGAGGGAGGCATTCAAAGGGAAAGGATGAGGAGGAGCAGGAGGATGCCACCCCAGAGTTTGGGGATCGGCTCCACCCAGAGCAGAGTGAAGGCCCGCTCTGGCTGCGCAGGTGAGAGGCAGTGATCTTGGTTGTGTTTGGACCATGGAAAACGACCTATTTTCAGAAGCATCGGTTAGCGCGTCTGTTTTATTCACGGCTCTTTCTCCTCACTGAGGGAATTAGCGGGAAGGCAGGAGCGCTGGCTCCCGGAGCCCACGAAGAGCGAGCGGCCCACGCACGGCTGGAAGGGAAAGGCCGGCATCAGCCCCGTGCGAGCACAGCCACGGCGGGCCAGGCTCTGCACGCCACGGGGCCGCGGCCCTGACCGGTGGCTCTCGCTTCTGTGCACGCGGCCGGGGCAGCTCCATGAGTGGGTCCAACCCAGTTATACCCCCGAGACGGCCGGAGGCTGCTGGGGGCTTCTAGAAAACACTCCAGCATAGCATTAATTAAAGCCACATATCACCTATTGGCCGATTTGCAGATGTTGGGTGCTTTTTCTTGTACCAAGAGAAGGAAGCCAGGGCCCAGGAAAGTGTCTTTGCACCCTGGGCTTCCATGTAATCATCTGTAAAATGGGAGTAGTGACAGTGCCTGTCTCTGGGTACACTGTGAGGGCTGAATGAGCTCTGGTAGGCCGAGGCTCAGCCCAGAGCCTGTCCCAGGGGAGATTCTTGGATGGTTCTGGGCTGGGATTTGAGTGTGTGCACACACAGATGCACACACAGAGACACACATAGATGCACACCAATATATATATATACACAGATCCCCCAAACACACAGAAACATTTGTGCATACACATACAAACACTCATGTCCTCTGCCCCCGAGCACACAGAAAGACCTCATACACACAAATGTGTGCTCACACAGGTGACACACAGACACAAACATGCAAAGGCACACATTCACACGCACACCCATAGACGTGTGCACACAAACCCTCCCAAACACACACGGATGTAAGCACAGAGAGACATACAAGCCCACAGGGATCCCCAAAGCACAAAGACCTTATGTGCACAAATGTACATATTCTGACACTCACAAGACACCTCGTCCCCAGGAGGCTCACACACACACACACACACACACACACACACACACACGGACCTACTCTGACACCACATGCACACACAGATCAGCACAGACGCGCACACAGACATGCACACTTGGACTCCCCTCCACAGGGTAGGCCACAGACCTCCCCCCTTCACAGACACTCTTGGACACCCCTGCTCCTGCCTCCTTTCTCCACAGCTCGAGGCACCAACGTGGGTCGGGAGTGCTGCCTAGAGTACTTCAAAGGAGCCATTCCTATCAGCAGGCTGACAAGGTGGTACAAGACCTCAGGGGAGTGTCCCAAGGATGCCATCGTGTAAGTGTGCCCTGGCCCCCTCCCATTCCCCCATCCTTGCTCCTAGGAGCTGAGTCTGGGGCAGACCCTATAGCTTCCAGGAGGACCACTGTGGAAAGGACAGAGGGGGCCTTCATCGCCTGCTTCCCACCCTGACCCTGCTCCCTATGGCAGCTCCTGCACCCCACACTGTGGGACCCAAAAGGCCCCAGGCTGTGAGGTTAAACCTCTTTACCAAATTATGGGGAAACTGAAGCCCCTAAGAGACAGGGCAGCCCTATAGCACACAGGCAGTCAGAGGCCAGCATGGTCACTTCCCAGGCTTGGACTTGAGCCGGGCCCGTCCTGGGCACCCCCGGTTCCCAGGCTTTAGGTGGGAGCAGGCCAGCTGAAGTGGGGCTGCTGAGGCAGGATGTCCTACAGACCTGGCTCCCTAGGGGACCGGCAGGGACTTGGGAGTCAGGAATCACTGAGAACAGAGCCTGACGTGCCAGATCTGCCACTGAGGAGCTCCATGACTTTGGGCAAGTTCTCGCTCCCCTTGGGGCCTGCTCAGTGCAGAGCGAGGCTGATCCCTGGGCACTGGAAGGCCTTGTTGCCCTGACACCTGCTGACGGGTTTCTCCCTCTCCTGCAGGTTTGTAACTGTCCAAGGCAAGTCCATCTGTTCCGACCCCAAGGACAAGAGGGTGAAGAAGGCTGTCAGATATTTACAAAGAAACTGGAAGGGAGGGCCCCAAGAGTCCTGATTCCTGCCTGGACCATTTGGAGACCTCCACCCTCAGCATTTGCTACCCCAACCTCCAGCTGCTGGAGTCCAGTGGAGGCCCTCCAAGGACAAAGGTGAACCCTGTCCCCTCTTCTGGATGGAACCATGGCATGAAAGAGCCCAGATTAAAGTCTGTCTCTTTGTACCTTAGTCTGAGTCTGCGTGTTCTGTGCACCACCCTGTCACACTGGAAGGGCCCTCAGAGAATTCTGGTCCTGCCCTGTCCAGGCCAGAAGGGGAAACTGAGTCTGAGAGAAGGACCTGGCTACTGCAGACCACATGTGAGGGGTGAGAGAAGGTCCTGGTGAGAGAGACTCCAGCAGGGTAGCTGAGGGTGTCCTTGGGATGAGCCCCACCTCCAAGAGACCTTCCCCAAGAACAGCTGCCCAGCGGGCTCTCTCTCTTGCTCCGATTCCTCTTGCTCTTACGGACCGTAGGGCAGCCCATTGTGATGGGGTTGTTCCAGTTGACTGCTGTGTGGGTCTCTCAGTCCTGGCTCCTCCATTAGAAGGGAGCACCCTGAACCACCCCAAGCACCCCACAACCTAAATGCTGAAAAAGATGAGGGATGGGGAGGTTAGGGTCTCCCTACCCCCAGACCCTTCTGAGCAAGCTCGTCTAGGCCCATACTGTAGTGTACAGGGTGGAGGAAGCCAGGTTTTCGGATTCTAGTTCTGTGTCACTCTCCTGACCAGCCATGGCCTGTGGCTTCTCTCTCCAGGACGCAGTCTAGGGGCAGGGGCATGGGGTCCTTCTCTTCCTAGGACTGCTAACTGCACTGTCTGCTGGGACTGCATCAGGAGTTAATTTCAGGCAAAGTTTTACCCCCGGTTGCCCCCTTGTGCTCAGCCCTCTTATTGCGGGCCAGATGACAGACCCAAGACCACTTTTAGTAGGGGCAGGAATAAAACAGGACAAACAACAACAATAATAATAATGAGACCAATGATGGTGAACCGGCTTCTTTGTGGCCCCAAGATCTCCTCGACCACAGGTGGGCTCTTCCCCGGCCCCGATCCCCAGGAGTATCCCTCCAACAACTAATTGCCTTGGACTCAGGATCCTGGGGGCTGCTGGGTCTGAGTTCTTTGTGGAACTGTCTTCTGATCCGCTGCATGAGGCGGGGTGGGGAGTGGAGGAAAGATGATCTCAGAATAGAGGGAGGCAAGAAAGAGCCCCAGTGAGAGCAGAGGAGAACAGGGGCTGGGGTCGGGACCCCTCACCCTTGTGGTCCGGAGCCTAAAGACACCCAGAGGACACGCGTCTCATCCATGTGCAGAGCATTTTAAAAGAAGCAAAACTTTTTTGTCTGAGTGGAATCTTCCTCAGAGGCCTATTTGTAAATTCAGAGGAGCTGAGCTTGCTGAGAACTGCGAGGATGTTTAACCGCACGATGAGGATGTAAGGGAGGGGGTGGTAGTGAGGGGTGACAAGAGGCAGGAGATAGGACCAGCCACCATGCCCCTCTGTAAAGGGGTCATCTGAAGGAATTGTGACTTGGGGACCCGCCCCCCCCCCCGACTGGTGAGAAAGAGGACCACATGACGTGGACTAGAGAACAGAGAGCAGAGAGGGCGCTGGCATCACCTTGTTCCTCCCACCCCTCCCTTGACTGAAATCCAGGCCCCTTGGGAGCTCAGCTGGGCTGCACTGACCCTCCGCCAGCTCTGCGCTCTGGCCTCAGCCCAACTTCTAGCACATTCTGCCTCCTTTACTATACTTATGGCACATTTGCCTTACCGAGCTCACAGGGGCTGGTATTGGGGTCAGGTGAGTCAGTCCCTGACTCATTTGTGAGGGTGGGGAGATGCCTTGTGCACAGTGGACATGTGACATCTTCATCACTCAGCCCCCTGGGCGGCCTCCACGAGGGGCACGCACAGAGAGAAATCCCGGAGGAGCTGATGTGGTAACGGGGAAGTTAGAACTGTGTTGCTCTGCGCTTGGCCACCAGAGGGCGCTTCGGCCTCCCCGCAGATAGAGATGGAGCCGGAGGCTCCTCAGCAGGACGGCCCTGGCCTCTTCCACCCGGTCCCTGGGGGCCCAGGGTTACCCGCATCCGACGGTAGCTGCCGGGGGCCCCGGGCTCACAGTGTCTGCAGCTGATCAGCCCTTCTGCTGGGGGAGCAGAGGCAGAGAAACCACCACCACTTTGCCTGGGGCTAGCCCGATGACAAGGAAGGGCCACTAAAGCCAACAGTGACATGGCCAGTGCCCAGAGCACCGCGCCGGGGCCCTTCTCACCACATGTTCTTAGATTCTCTATTAGCCTATTTGGCCTCCAGTTATCACGGGGCTGAAGTCATGGCTGAAGCTTGTTTCACCTTCCCTGCGTTCCAGCTCTGGAAAGCATGCAAAAATCCCAGGGCAAACTCTCCAGCTGACCTTGGGCTCATTCCTCTAGAGCCCCCTTTTTATAACTCACACCCCAGCTCGCCTGGGGCCAGGGACCCCTGCCCTAAGTCTGTGGGAATTACTCACACTAGCCAACCCTCAGTTTTCTGAGCCCAGAAGTGCTTTTCCCATGGGGACTCCAATAAAGGCTTCTCCCCAGACCCCAGGGTGGTGTCCCATGGCCCCTTCTCTTGGGAAATGTCAGTAGAGAATTATCTGACTAGCACTGACCTCTCTCCATCATCAACCCAGGCCCCTACATAAACTAAAACCCCACAGGTATGTTTTAACACAAGGGTCGGGGACCTGCTCTATATCCGTTCTGCTGCTGACTGGCTCTGAGGCCTTGGCACAGTCACTCCACTTTTCTGGGCCTGTTTCTCCCTAAAATGATGAAATTGGACCCTCTCTAATGGGCTTGAGGATGGGCCCAGTCAAGAGAATGAGGGCTTAGTTGGCTGCTTTTCTGCTCCCACATGGCCCATAGGGGATCAGAGTCTCAGAAATACTGTAGTTTCCTCCTAATTGAACTGACATTTTATTGATTTATAAAACCTGCTTATGAGTCAAGACAAATCTCTTATCTCTCATATATGTAACTAATTTGTTTCCCTAGTTTATTAGGGTTTAGCCCATGCTTATTTTCCATGCCCTTTAGATTGAAATATTTAATATTTCTATAACAAAACCTTTTGGTCATTAAAACAAAGGGAGGGTAGGGACGCCTGGGTGGCTCAGCCGTTGAGCATCTGCTCAGGGTGTGATCCTGGGATCAAGTCCTGCATTGAGTTCCCTGCAGGGAGCCTGCTTCTCCCTCTGCCTATGTCTCTGCCTCTCTCTGTGTCTCTTGTGAATAAATAAAATATTAAAAAAAAAAGGGAGGGCATGCTCAGTGAACAGACACCCATGTTCGTAGCAGCATGAGCTGCCATAGCTAAAAGGTGGAAGCAGCCCAGACGTCCATCAAGGGATGAGTGGATAAATAGTGGTGTGCACCTACAGTGGGGTATTATTCAGCCACAGAAAGGAGCGAGCACTGATGTGTGTTACAAGGTGGATGAACTTTGAAAACGTGCCAAGAGCAGCCACGTGTGGAAGGTCACATACTGTATGACTCCATTCACGTGACATGCCCAGAACCGGCAAGACCCCAGACAGCCGGCAGATGGGTGTTACCAGAAGCAGGGAGGATGGGGAGAAAGCCTAGCTACTGGGCAGGTACACGGCTGCCTTGGGGATGATGGGATTGTTTGGAACGAGACAAGAGTGATGGTTGCACAATCTATTGTTCACATTAAAATGGTTAATTTAAAAAAATAATAAATAAATAAAATGGTTAATTTTATGTTATGTCAATCTGACCTCAAAAAAAAGAGGCAATTTTCACATTAAGTCCTTTTATGCAGAGAAACACTATAAAAACAGCACAGGGCAGGGGGTACCTAAGGGCTCAGTAGATTTAGCATCTTTCTTCAGATCAGGTCACAATCTCAAGGTCCTGGGATGGAACCCCATGGGGCTCCCTGCTCAGCCGAGTCTGCTTCTCTCTTTTCCTCTGCCTCGCGTTGCTTGTTCTCTCTCTCTCCCCCTCTGTCTCTCTCAAATAAACAAATAAAATCTTAAAAAAAAATTAAGGGATCCCTGGGTGGCGCAGCGGTTTAGCGCCTGCCTTTGGCCCAGGGCGCGATCCTGGAGACCCGGGATCGAATCCCACATCGGGCTCCCGGTGCATGGAGCCTGCTTCTCCCTCTGCCTGCGTCTCCGCCTCTCTCTCTCTCTCTATCATAAATAATAAATAAAAATCTAAAAAAAATTAAAAGCAGCATGGGTGTGCTGGGCATCACTTCAGGAGACAGAACGCTTCTGCAGAGGGCAGAGGAGGGAAGGAAAGGGATAACACAGCTGTAATATTTCATGTATTAAAGAATAGAGTTAATCTGAGTTAAAACAAGTCCAGCTGTGTTACAGTATATCTAACTCTATTTGAACTCCAGCGTGATGTACAGGAAAAAATGCTTAGGTGCTTGTCAACAAAGAGAGAAGGGAGAGAGAAAGGGAGGGACGGACTTCCTAGTGCTGCTGAGCACCTCTGAGCCTAATGCAGCTTCCAGATTGTCACAGGGCGGCACAGCGGTGGACGGTGGGCTCCAGGCGGCGGTCAGCCTGCACCTGCACCACCAGGACGTGACAACGGAAGGTCGGGGCAATGGCCGTGGAGGCCCAAGGGGAGCCTTGGGTCCCTAGCCCCCAGTCCCTGTCGCTATGACAGGACAGTCACGGAAGCAAGGAAAGACTGAGGCAGCAGAGAAGGTAACGAAAGCATAAATCCGTGAAAATTGCCTCTTTTTTTTTTTCCAGACCACAGAAATCTTCATCGCACTTCTTTATGGATAGCATCACCCTGTTTTAGTGGGAAGGGAATTCGAGAATTAATAGCACCTCCTGGAGAACACACAGCACGCAGCCTGCACCAGGTCAGGGACTGCTGCTAAGACAACTTTTTTTTTTTTTTAAGATTCTATTTATTCATTTATTTAGCGTGTGTGAGCATGAGCAGGGGGAGGGGCAGAGGGAGAGAGAGAGGATCTAGAAAACACCCTCTAAGTGTGGAGCCTGCCTCCGGGGCCCATCTCATGACCCCCAGATCACAACCTGAGCTGAAATCAAGTCAGATGCTCCACTGAGCCCCTCAGACGCCCCCAGAAAACTATTATTTTTAGAATTGAACATTCTGTACCACTTTTGACTTCATAGGAGTCCACTCTTGCTTGCTTTCTGGAAACTTCCTTGAACTGTCTCTTTACACGATGATGCTGAGATAGTGTGTCCCTTTTACCTTCTGTGGCTAATCATTCTCATGGAGTCCTCTCTCTTCGTGTCCATTTCATTTGGGTTAGTTTTCTCTTTCCTGTCCTTGCTGCCTGTTCGTAGCACTTGCCACCTCCTAGTGCTCTCTCCCACGTCTACTTCACCTCTGGGATTTCATCTTTCTTCACGCCTTGCCTCAGCTCTGCCGTTTCAGGTCTGCACCACAGGAATCCCTCTCTCTTTATGCATTGATCATTCCTATGAGCTCTAGTGTCTCTGTGCTATACTTCGTCCATGTGTGGTTCTTTTGGTCACAGGTAATATTTATCTGCTTTGCTATTATCAAATGAGTGTTGATTCTACTTTTACAATTTTGAATGGAATTTTAACCGTGCCAAATATTTCCTGGAGGTTCATGGTAGAGGTGCAGGACTGCGTTCTGGACTAGCAAGCAATTTCCTTAACATTCAGGGTTTTATGTGTGGGTTTTCCTAGTTTTTTTTTTTGTTTTGTTTTTTGAGAAAGAGAGAGAGGGAGGGAGAGGTGGGGGGGAGGGGCAGAGGGAGAAGAAGAAGGAAAATCTTAAGTAGACCCCCACCCCCAGCACAAATCCTGACACTGATCTCACAAACCTGAGATCATGACTGGAGCCAAAACCAAGAGTTGGTTGCCTCACCGACTGAGCCACCCAGGTGCCCCTTCCTAGTTTTTTTTTTTTTAATGAAATTTTTCATAAGTACAACAGAATGTATATGTAAGGTATGCAAACCAATAATAGAATAAGCACCTGTATAGCCTCCATCCAGCTTAATAAAAAGAACCTTCACCAATTCTTGGTCCTGGTCCCATGTGTAACCCCCCTCCCCCCATACAACAGACGAGCTGTAGGATGGTCACAAACCAAAGCCTCTCTTCTCCTGCCCAACAACCAGTGCCTTCTGCTCACGAGGCTTCTCTGGGATTCTTCTGATTAGAAGCTCCACTTCCTCTCTTTACAGAATGTCATCTTCCCATCGACCTCTAGAGACAATTATGTTCCTGAACTTTATCATTCTTCTTTTCTTTCGTTTGTCGCCTATGTGTATGTACATAATATGTACAATATATATCCCTCACATTAATGATCTTGTATGTTTTCAAACTTTGCACTCTGTGGGAAAGAACACATCGCATGCGTACACTCTGTTGTGGCTCTGAGATCCCTCCACGCTGATGTGCGTGGCTATAGCACACCATTTTCCACCACATGATGACATGACTCATTCACCTATCCTCTTGTTAAAGGCCATTTGGACTACTTCCAGGTTCTTGCTATTACAGATAGTGCTGCTTTGAACATTTTTTAGCATGTCTCCTGGTGCATGCATAGAAACAACTTTTCTAGGGCAGTGATTCTCAATCCTGGATGCATTTTAGAAAGGATTACCTGGGAAAGCTTTGCAAATACACTGACACCCGAATCCCTATTTGAAAAGATTAACTTCATTGGTCGTTGGCAAGGAGGGGTCCCATGCATAGGTGGTTGTTTTTTTGAAGCCACCCAATGGATTCTAACATACAGCTTGAATTGAAACTGACCTGATAGGGTGTAACCATCCCAACAAATCCCATCAGCTGTGGGAAGAGTCCCACCTGGCCACACCTTTGCCAATTCTTGGTCATGGTCCCATGTGTAGCTCCTCTCCCCCCATACAACAGACGAGCTGTAGGATGGTCACAAAGCAAAGCCTCTCTTCTCCTGCCCAACAACCAGTGCCTCCTGCTCGGGAGGCTTCTCTGTGGGATTCTTCCTTCAGCCCCACTGTTGCCCAGCATGCTGGAACCCCATTACAACCAAGGAAGGTGTGGTTGGCTCCACTATCCATCCCACTCAGTGCTTTAGAGTGACTTCTGGGAGAGGGGAAGTTCTAAGCAAAAGATCTTATAGTGTTTACTAAACAATTAAGATTCCCAGCCCCATCTCAGACTCATGACTGACCCAGAAAGTCCAAGGGTGTCAGGTACTTGTACTTTTAAAGGTCCTCCCTCAGCAGGTGGCAGGTCACTTACTGGCTCGCCCCGTGTTCTCAAATGTGAACTGAGGTTGTAGTCGGTGATCTTAGACTATTTGGGGCTCAAAACCTCCCCTTAGAAATGGGGGTCTTACAAAGTCACAAGATGTCTGCTCACTGTGCTGAACTCCGAGAACAGATGTGTGCTGCTGATCAGCAAGGCCTCTCTGCAGCTTGCTGGCCCAACCCTGAGCCCCCATGTGGGTGGCCCAACAGCTGCCAACATGGCACCTTTAACTGGGCCAAGTGTAGCAGACAGGAGATAGTGTCACCCTTTTTGCCAGCAATGACAGGAATGCAGAACAAGGATCAGGTCGGCAAGGGCTAGTGACATTTGCCCCAGGCTCTGCTAAACCCAACCCGAGAAGCTCTTTGGTTCAGAATCTCCTGTCCTCAACCTGAAGTTTAGAGATTTTTGTCCTTCACCTTGGTATCTGCAACGGATGCATCTAACAGCGTCTCAGCTGTTCTCAGTATCAGTTAACATGACATCTAGTCTTGGGCTTAATTAGTTTGCTTTTGTGGCCTAACAGATCACCACAGATCTAGGGACTTAAAACCATACACATCTGCCCTTGCAGATTTTGTGGGTCAGGACTCCAGGCCCAGGGTCTCCCTGGCTGCAGTGTTGAAGGCTTCCTCCTGGCTAGAGGGTCCACAGGGTCCGCTCTCAGCTCTAGGAGGCCCCTCTAGGACCTTCTCTCCACATGGCAGCTTTAGAAGGCCAGAAGAAACTCTTAGTTTTCCAGTTTCCTTTCACCACTGATGAGGGCAGCCCACTCAGGGTAAGTGACCTTTTAACTGAAAGTCCCTTAGAGACTTAAATTACTTGTGCCAAATCCTTTCGCTTTTGCCGAACTTCACCTAATATCAGAGGCGATGTGAGAATATGATGGGACCTCATACTCACAGGCCCTGCTCAATCTCAGGGGCAGGGGGTGACACAAGGGTTTGGGAATTGGGGTCATCTTGGAACCCTGCCGACCACAGGGGCTCTGAAGTCAAACAGAACTTAGCAACGCCCAGAAAATCCACCTGCGGGGACCAGAATAAGCAAAAGCAAACTTAGAGAATCAAGTCAAGTTTCAAGGACAAATACCAACAAACACTTCCATTTATTAGTAATGTATACGAATCCTGGTCTCTAATCTCTGCACCCAACATGGGGCTCAAGTTTAGGAGCCAGCAATCAAGAGTCATGTGCTCTACTGACTGAGTCAGCCGGGCACCCCCCACCCTGCCCCCTCACCATCCTGATCTCTTAAATCCATACAATCTCTCCAACTATTTGGCAAGATCAATTCCAAGTCTGTGTGAATAACAAAGATAATGAGAGGTCTCTTGATCAGAGATTGTTTAAGATTTCTGTCCTGCTTTCCTTTAAAACCTCATCAACTGGGCAGCCTGGGTGGCTCAGCAGTTTAGCGCCGCCTTCCCCCAGGGCATGATCCTGGAGACCCAGGATCGAGTCCCACGTCGGGCTCCCTGCATGGAGCCTGCTTCTCCCTCTGCCTGTGTCTCTGCCTCTTTCTGTGTGTGTCTTTCATGAATGAATAAATAAAATCTTTAAAAAAATAAATAAAACCTCATCAACTTGGCCTCTCCTAAAGTAAATGAAGAGAGTCCCTGATCCTTAACTGTAGGACTGGCCCCACCAGTGTGACACTAAGGCTCTTCCAAAAAGAAAGTTTTGTGGCCTAAGCTGAGCTCAGATGGCTGTGTCAGACATCACACACACAAACACAGCGCTCTCCACAACAGATATGCAGAAGTACCCAACTTTAATAACGATAGATGAACAGAAACAAGACGGATATAACACAGTAGGACAGGGGTGAGGTAGGGATGGAAGGGACAGAGGGACACTGAATATGATCACAGCAACCAACGGGTGATTCTTCTGATGCCCTGAGCCATGAGACACGACTCATGTCACCAATAACTGCATCAGTGCAGTTGGTACTCACCAATAACTGAGTAAACCATCAACTCTGGAAGGCAAGTAGTGGCACTATTGCTGAGCTTAGAACTGGGGTAGGGGTCCTCTCTGTCACAGAGTGTTAATACTCAAGGACATCTGGGCTCTTGAGTGTTAGGTCAGCATTGCAATATCAGGAGATGGCCTCTCCAGCACATGTTCCCTAATACGAGGTGGAGAAACAGGTCCCCCCACTCAGAGTAACCAGGTCCCATTATAGTAGGTCTTTTGATACATAGCACCACCGCACATCACTGCACCCCATAGCCAGCTCCACTCTGTTTACCAAGCACGCTCCCTGCAGATGGACTTCAAGCAGAGAGTGAGCAAATGCAGAGGAGGTGGGAGGAACCACAATTGTGGGACTTGAGGGACAGGAGTTGGCTGGAGGAGCCAATGTGCACTATGTTAAGTCCCTCCTAGGCATCACTGAGGTTGTTGTTGCTCAGGAGCACCTGCTCCCCAGGCTTGAAGGCTGGCATGCCAAGGTAGGGGCAGCTGGCACAGCGGAAAGCATCGCCCAGGTAGCACTGTTGAGAGAAGAGACAATCAATCATACAGGGAAGCTGAGTGTCAGCGTGTCCCAGATACATGGGCAAGAAAGGGATCCCTAATTTCATAACATGGTCACAGTGGCCTGATGGAAATGGCTGGATGCACATGTGGCTCCAATTGAAACCCAAATACTAAGAGTTTTTAAGAGCTCTAGTTTTATGAAAAACTGACATGAGAAGTTCCTTCAGAAGGCCATATTTCTATATTTCAACAGTTCAAATCATAGTTGAGCTCAGCCAAATGGCCAAATGGCATCAGGCCACCATGAACTGGGAAGAATGGGGTCAAAAATAAGTGACAGGAGCCTCCCCTACAGGCAGGAGCACACAAACCCCCTCTCAGGAGATGACTTCTCTCCTACATACGCGTTCTCACATATTTGCCCATTCTTAAAATACTTGGGCAGTAAATGAGAGCTGGAGCTAGTCTGTGTTGGGTTTAGGATTATGCCCAATACCACTGGGGGTTTTGTGAACACTGAGTAAGGACCCAGATATTTACATTTCCACAAGCCGACTTGGGCTGGGAGCTCGCCTGTTCCCTTGACTTCTCTTTTTCCAGTTCTTCCGCGAGGCCACAGGTGCTGGGGGTGGAAATTGGTAGCTTGTGAGTGAGACGTGGTACCACCCACGGGCTCCAAGTCCTCAACACAGCCCAAACACACTCTAAAACTTTTCTTTTTATACTAGGACATCTTAAACACCTATGGGGCTGGGCTGACAAGGTAAGCGTGTAAGGCTGTTTAGGGAGACAGTGGTGGGCAAAGGGGGACCGAAAGGGGAGATGCCCTGTCTACACAGGCCAGTCACTACTCAGCTTCAGCCGATTAATGCTATGAGGAGAAGCAGACCCAGTGCTGTCATATTTTCCAAAGCTAAGGACAGAAAAAAAAAAAAAAAAAGGATTTTTACTTGAAATCTCCTGATTTGTGAACGCTGGCAACTTTCACACTTACAAGAACACTGATTCAGCAAGCCCACGCACCACCAGTTCATTTTTACCACTCTTCCATCCGTAAAACGAATGCAAAAAAAACCAACACTGAGGTTTCCAGGTTAAGAGGACAGACTGAATGCATGTGTCTACTCTACTTTCCCTCAAGGCCCCACTGAAACTTCAGTAAAGCATAACCCACAAAAACAGGGGCCAGGGGAAAGGAGACAGTGGCTACGCAGCACTGGGAACTGTATAGCAGAAGAAGCGGAAGAGGTGACTCTCACCGAGGGGAGGTGAACTCCAAGCAGGTGGTAAGTTAGCCACTGCTAAGCACGTGGCTCTCAGCCCACACTGCACCCCAAAACTTCCAAAGGAACAGGTGGCACCAGAAAGACCCCTCTCTAAGAAATCTAACCACCTCAAGGTGAAAGACCCAAAGATGCTGAGTTTGCAGTGTCCCTCACAGGCCCACCCAAGCTCCCTTCACTAAAACACAGTCAACAAATCCCAGCGCTAAAGCTCAGGGCTCCCAGCTCAAGCAACCTTTCAAAAGCAACTACTGTAGAACCGACTCCAGCAAAATAAGAGAGAAAACTAAGAAAGCAGCAGGGGATACAAAACCTAGAAAAGCTAACGTAAGGCAGAGGGAAGGGAACCCTCAGGGGGAACAGTGGAGGGGACCCCCAGATGTCAGCTCTGCCATAGACGAAGTCACACGTGTATGATGAAGCAGGAGCCCAAAACAGGCTCCTGAAGCTGAAGGCTTCCACTGAAGCTGAAGGCTGCCACTGTCACAAACCAAGCTGCCATCATACCATAGTATCAAGGGCAGGCAAGCCAGCCCAGATCCTGGCCCTGGCTTATCCTGACTGCACACTGGCGACCATGAAGCTTTTCCATCCCTCTTTGCCCTGCTGATCTGCTGAGGACACTCATGTTCTGCTCCAGTCTGTTCCAAGGAGGAGAACTCAAACTTGGGCGGGCTTAGAGTAGAACATACAGAGCAGCCCACGCCCTCCAACCATACTGCTGCTGGTGTCACCCTACACACCCCTGCCAAGTGTTCCATCTGTCTATGTCCTTGGTTTCCTAGAGATCTCTTGTGGCTCTCCCTGGCTTCCCTGGAAGGGACTCTTGGAGATCCTCAGGAGATCCTCTTGGAGATCCCCAGCCCAGGAGACCCTGCATACCTTAACTTTCACCAGAAGCCTTCTCAGATGGAGGGTATTGACCTTTCCTTGCCTTGTCAGGGCTGGGCTAACTACTCAGTTTTTCGTAATTAAAAAATATAGTAGTTGGAGCTTCACACTAGATGGTAAACTATCAAATAAGCCAAGAATGATTAACATGAACCCGGGAGGATGGTAATCTTTGTGGGGACGGAGCAAGATGCAGCTGAGGAAGCACGGAGAGGTGGCTTCTACGTTACTAGTCATATTTCTGATTCTTAACTTGGGTAATTGGTACACAGATGTTCATCTTTATTACTCTTTAAAACCTATCTGATTAAGATACTCCTCCATCTTATTTATTTATTTATTTATTTATTTATTTATTTATTTATTTATTTATTTATTTATTTATGATAGTCACACAGAGAGAGAGAGAGGCAGAGACACAGGCAGAGGGAGAAGCAGGCTCCATGCACCGGGAGCCCGACGTGGGATTCGATCCGGGGTCTCCAGGATCACGCCCTGGGCCAAAGGCAGGCGCTAAACCGCTGCGCCACCCAGGGATCCCAATACTCCTCCATCTTTACAATGCATTTCACAATAAAATAAGTATTTCAATAATAGTAAAGTATCCCGAGTCCTTGAGCCTCAGAAGACTGGAAGCCCTGGAAGACTCCACTTATGCTGACACTCACCAATTCTTGCAGGCTTTCCTCTTTTTCCCTTCTCCACATGAAGGAGCCCGCAGGGAAGCTGGATCTGGCTTCTTAAAATCTTCTGGATCTAGCAGCTCATCTGAGTCAATGAGATCCTAGAGAGAGCTCGAAGAGGTTAGTGACACACTCATGGTCTCTGCTGCTAGAAGGCTGAACAAAGGGCTGCGGTAGCAGGTTTCTATGGCCCACGTAGAGGGCATCCACTGACCTCCTCTGGGCTGATCATCACATTCAAGCTGACCACCACAGTGAAGTCACTATGTCCACAGAGGATGCACTAGGCTGTAAGGGGACTGGGAAGTAACTGACAACATGTAGAGAATATGAGTCTAAGTGTGCATGTGTGTGCGCGTGTGTGAATGTGGAAGCAGCAGGAAAAACAAAAACAGAAGTGCTATATTTATTTGCATATATGAAGGGCTGTCATGTGAAAAAGGGAATAAACTATTTTCTATATGATTCCCAAGAAGGCAAATAACAATATATACTTTTGTGCAATTCTTTGCTGAATGGGAGAACAATTAATCTTAAATTCTATGAGAACATGAACCGTAACCTGTTTTGCTATCACTGTCACTTCAACAGTTGCAGAAATTAAGAACTTTCTAATAGACAGTATTGATCCAAGATGGAAAATTATTGCTTTTAAGACAGTGAGTGTGCACTGACTTGCCCAGACAAAGGAGCCAAGAAAGTCTTTTAGCTGACAAGCTCTTTTCAGGTTCACACATGCCCACCAGAATCTTTAACATATCACATGAAGTGAGAACAAGAAAACCTGTGGGGAAAAGAGATGCTGAAAAAGATTTTTAAAATGCCACGAATGTGGGGTTTCCTTCCGAATCACAAATGCCAGCCACGGTCACAGGCACAGGCACAATGCTGAGCTTCACACTTCCATGTCCAGAGAGGCCACACCAAACTATGACCGTTCATTTCCAAAGGGACGCCAAACAGAAAGCAGTCCAGGGACTGCAGTGCCCACTCACCACACTCTCGTCCTCCATGTCATTGGCTGACAGGGTCCAGAGCTTGGCCGCTGCAGGGTCCACAGCAGGCTTCACTGGGTCCAACCATTAAAAGAAAAAGAACTTCATCAAAGCAGCAGAAACAAACCAGAGGCACATGGGTGTGCTTTTTGCTGAGTGTCTGTGGAGAGCACATGGGCCTGGGAGTCCGAGGGCTTGGGTCTGAGGCCCTGCTCTACCATTTGGAGAAGGAATGGCCTGGGGCTGGCTTGCTTTATGGTGACAGATGCCATCATCTGCTAAGCACTTGCTCTGCAGCAGATGCTACAATAAGTATTTCATATGCACCGTGTGATTAAATCCTGCTAGGACCCTTATCAGGTGAGGATGTGCTGTCCTAATTTTATAGATGAGAAAAACAGCTCCAACATTTAGGCTCTTTCTACAGAGCCACAAACAGGAGTCTGTCTGACATGCTTGACTTCACCCCACATTGCTGTGTCCTTATCTTAGCTTCCATCCTTAGAACCTGAGGCTAGTCGTCCTCCCTAGATCTACTGCAGGAGATCTGAAGATTAAGTAAGCAGAAAAGTGTGTGCCAAAGCCTCTGCCTCATGTGAACCTGTGACGTACAAGAAAACTGGCTCCAGAGCCAGCGGCAGTGCTGTGAGGCAAACTGGTGGCAGACACAACCCTCACCCTGCAGACCCTGTTGGTGCAAAGAAGGCCCTGAGAGCTGAGTCAGTGTGGGCAGGTATAGGCAGGTCCTCAGAGACAGTGTGGGCACGTCTTCAGACCGGCCTTGGTGGTTAAGTGCACCGCTGAAGATCACTGTTGCAGGTGGAGGCTCAGATCTTCCACAAGGCAAACTCCTCATCTGAGCCCTTCCTACCCATTCTGGAAGCATGGGTCCAAAGGCTGGGATTCCAGCGGATTTCTTAAAGATTTTGGCTGGCCAAAGCAGAGGAGTGTGAATGTACCTGCAAATTTTTGCATACCTCATGGCTGGGACAATTTCTCTTGATTCAGGCATCATGAAATAGTGATGAGGTGAGGGGGTGGCAAAGGGCGGGTACAACTGTCTAAGGAGAAATACTTTTACAAGTGGCTTAAGATCCTCAAAGTAAGAAAAGCTGACTTTACTAGCATAGAAAGGACCCATGGGAAGAGGTGCAGGCTACTCTTATCAACCACGACCACCACTGCGAGAGCTCCTGAGGATGAGTGTGGTAATTCTGGGGTGTGGAAAGACTTCATTAGCTAAATCATGTAGCTCAGTCTTCTAGAATCTGGAGGCCTCAGTGTCCTAAGAGCAGAAGAGGCCAAATGAGGTAAGAGCTAATGTGCTATTTCACATCAGAATCTGAATACGCCCGGGACAACAGAACATGAAACATTTTTCCATTTGGAAATGACAGAGATGAAGGAAGGACTAATCCTCTGGAGACCTCACTGTCTCTGTCTAGATCTCTGGTTCAACATCTGAGTTGTCTTTCTAGGCTCACCCACACAGAACAATGCCCCCAGGCCAGTCTTACCCGGGGGAGAAGACTTCTTGGCCAGAGAAAGCTTCAGTTGACTAGAAGAACCCACTTCAAAGTTGGGTTTTTTGCCTGTGATGTGCACAGAGAGCAAGTTGTCACTTTGGTAACCCAGGTGTTCTTGGACAGACTGTATCTCCTTGGCGCTCAAGGACTCCTGCTGCAGCTGGAATTCAAGACATCAAAAGAAGTAGGTCACACTCTTTCCACAAAATGATGTCATACTAAGTCCACCCACACAGGTGTCAAATACTCATTTCTGTGTTACGAAGTGCATAATAGCAGGAGATGATAGACATCATCACATTCAGTTTCTCAGTGATCTGTACTACTTTGTTTATGCGCTTACTTTGAGCCAACCCTCTGGAAAGTTTTCAAGTATTTACCAAATCCCTGTCTATTAGGTACAAGGCACTGTGCCAGTTGTTCTGCGGGTTATAATGATTATGATTATCAAGATGAGTCAGGCATACTGAATAGGATGATGCCTCATGGTGTGCTACATAGAGGCAGGCGCACAATAAACATAGTAGAAATAAAATAGAGAAAAAAAACATAAAGAGGGAAGAAATGTTTTCCTGGGAAGAAGTAGCGGACGATAAAGGTAGAAAACAATGTGGGAGTGCCACCTGTGTCCAGCAACTACAGAATGGTTAAATAAATCACAGCTGCTCCACAGCACTCAATATTGTTACATCATTAATAAGAGTGAGGGGCAATGCACTGGGATAAATAAATGTTGAAGATATTTAAAGGTGGAAAAAGCTAGTAATTGAATAATGTATACATATGACCTCATTTACATTAAAAAAGTACCTGTCTCTCCCTGTCACACACACACACACAGAGGTCTGAGCATCAACACATAAAAATGTGTTGGTGGCTTCCTCTTGGGAGGGAAGTGTGAGGAAGGTCTGGAATGTCATTTTATAATTCTATATTCTCCAGTATTTTTTTTTTTTGGTAAGATTTTATTTATTTATTCATGAGAGATAGAGACACAGGCAGAGGGAGAAGCAGGCTCCCTGCGGGAGCCTGATGTGGGACTCGGTTCTGGGACCCCGGGATCATGACTTGAGCTGAAGGCAGACGCTTAACTGCTGAGCCACCCAGGCGTCCTTATATTCTCTAGTATTAATTGAATTTATATGAGCATCTCTTATCTTAGATTAAAAAAACACGGAAAACAAAAACAAAAACGGAAAACCTTAAACTAAAAAGAAAAATAAGCAAGTATGGGCATAAAGAAACTAAGGCCCTAGGTCATGCTGCCAATCAGTGGCCTTGGTGGTTAAGCGGACCACCACGGGAGGGGTGGGAGGGTACAGCTCAGTGGTAGAGCCTCTGACTCAAATCCGTGGTATTACACTTATCATGGTACAGCACTTCCCTCTCACACAAGAAAATTTCAACATCAAAGAAGGATGTAGAAATAGAAACACCTCTAATTAATCTGAGTATTTTTACTGAATTGTCAGAAGTGGGATATTCTCCCCTGACCCACTCCAGCCTCCACCAAATACCTGAGGATGATTCAGGTGCCCGTGTTTCACTTGGGCCTAGGATTTGTGTTCATTAAGGGACCCGTGTTGCTCTCTCCCTGAAACATGGGCGCCACCACTCCACTCCACCAGTACTGAGACCAGAATATGCCCCAACCAACAAGGGCCCAAGCTGAGTCTATTCAAAGGAGAGTTTTTCCAAAGAGACACTGTGTATCTTACATGCAAAGCACTTCCCAGTTTGCTTCCCAGTCGACGTGACACTGCACCCCTCATTTTCCATGCTGTTACTCCCCTGATGCTCCCCAGATCTATGGACAGAGATCCTGGGTGTAGTCACCCAAGGTCTCAGTTCCCAGCAAAGGAGGTGGTCTACTAACATACCTCTTTCACTTCCACGAGACCAGAAAGAGTCAGGGCCGAACACAGCTTAGATGTCGTCCTCACTTTGCTGTTGTTAACTGCCAAGAGGAAAACCCCAATTAGCAGCTTCATGGGCCAAAACAGGAAAAATCAAAAAGGATCCTATTTGGGTCGGCTGGCAATAAAAGTGATCGTGACAGTATTTTAATTTGACAAATCCTTCTGGTTGTTCAGTACGTGCTTACCTACGCCCTTAAGTGTCAGAGAATAATTCTATAATAATATATATAATAATACAATAATAATTCTATTAATTAATAATTAATAATAATATAATTAAAATAATAATGATTAATATGTAATAATATAATAATAATATAATAATAATTCTATTATTGTCCTGTCTCACTCGGCTTCTTGGAAGAACCTTTCTGGGGTTTCTGGACACTGAGTGAAAAGGAGGCTGAGGACTCAGAAAGCACACAAGTATACTCTCTGCGCAGTTCCTACAAGAGAGACACTGCAGCTTCCCGTGGTCTACACTTCCAACAAAGAACACTGGCATCTGCCGTGTCCATCACAAGTTTCTATCCCCACTAAATGCTTTTACATATTTCAAAATACTTTCAGTCTCTGGTTGCATTTACAAATTGAGTCATCACATACTGATGGAAAACGGAACAAATTCAGAAGTGACAGCTTCATCACTGAGCAAAAAAAAGAGAGGTTTTTATTTCCTGGGTCCTATCATTAGTTTCATATGAGTCAATAATTATGACTCATCACTCCCAGACTTCCAGTCATTATTTTCTAACTTTTTATTCTGAAATAACTATAGATGCATAGGAAAATTAAAAAAAAAAAAAAAAAAAAGGATGCTTCTCCTTGTTTCCCCTATGGGAACATACACAAGTACCGCACACTAGAAGACTGGGAAGTTATCACTCAGGGTCCACAGAGCTCCCCAGATCTCACCAGTTTTGCATGCAATTGTCTGGGTGTGCACAGCTCTGTGCAATCTTACCATGCTTCATGTGAGCACTTCCACAGTTACAAGGAGCCCTCCTGAGACCCCTTTCCAGGCTCACATATCCCCTGCCTCTCACTCCTAGCACCTAGTAGTCATCAGTTTGGTCCCCATCCCTAGAACTTTGTTATTCCAAGAATGTTACAGGAATAGAATCACATAGCATGCATCCTTTTGGGATTGGCTGTTTTCCACTCGGCACGGCAAGATTCCCTTGAGATTCATCCAAATTGTTGCACAAGTGAGTGGTTTATTCCTTTTTATTGCTAGAGTTTCCCGTGGTATGCATGTACCACAGTTTAACCATTCAACCTGTTGACAGACCCAGCCATTTTCAGGTAGACATTTTCCTCCTATTGGGTCAAAGATCATAGTTCCGTGAGATGCACTGCTTCAGATTTTTACAACCAAGGAGAAGGATCTCCTAATGACAGCTCCTGCTCAGAGAGATGCAGCAAACGTACCTAAATATTTAACGTTGTTAAATTCTAGTCTTCCAAATAAAAATTTCCTTACCTACAGCTGTCTCTACTGGCTCTCTCAGAAAAAGACGTCCACCAGGCCGCAGGATCCGGGCCATCTCAGCCAAAATCTCAGTGCTGTGCAGAGTGGTGCTTCCAGGAATTACACCCGACAAAATAATATCAAAGCTAGATTCTTTGTGGGCAGCTGAAAAGAAGGAAGGTTCTGATCAGCAATCACCTGGGCCCCTGAGGCAATCTGCCCAGCCCCCCAAGGTCCTGCAGAGGCTCCAGGCTTGGCCCTGGAAGAATGAACAGCTACCTATCTGGCAAACGTTATTATACCATTACTAGCAAGAGGGGCAAAGAAGCCACTATTCTCCCTTGGTCTTATTAATTTCATATCCTTTATATGTCCAGGAAAAGAAGTAAAAAGGAAGCTGGCTGAAGAATACGCTTTTTAAAAAATGCAGGATATCTAATAACAACATACTTATAAAAATCAACTACACTCATTTTAAGTCCACTGTATCTCAACTGAAAAACGGAGTGACCCCCCCCCCCACTGCCATCGTGTGCCACTCAGAACAAAAACTCAGATATCAAGGAACCGCATAAACGCAGCACCCCCATCAACCCTCTGCAACCCTGTAAAGACAACGGGTAGGTACTTACATTTCAACAGTTGGTTGATGTTTTCCACAGACACTTGGCCCTCATCACCTGTTAACTTTTGAAGCTTGTCGACCAGATCTTTCAGAGCCTCCAGGGGGGATGACTGATCCCAGACCACGGCCACAAACTGGCCAGCTGAGATGCCATAATCTGCCATTCCTGCCATGCTGATGGACCTAAAACCCATGGACCAAAGGAGAGTCACGACTGAGCAGAGATAAAAGCACAATTTAATCTATGAGGTACCAGCAAATACAATTAGAATCACCACCTAATTCCGACCTCCCACCACGGCATGCTGACCACACTAGAGTATCTTCCTGTGGATGCTACAGAGACTAAAATAATGAACCCGTTACCTCAAGGATTCTTAACCCCAACATTCCCCAACAAGGCAGGTTGCTTCCTGGATGGGAGTCCTGCCTTGGCAGTCAAGTATACAAGTTGAAGGCAGAAAGAGTATTTCTCTTTTGATTTGGGACAACTCAGCTTGAGTGGAAGGAATATGAAACACACAGGACGTTAATTAGGCAAAAGTATGACTCAGCAAAGAAGGCAAATAAATTGGCAGACCTAATTTCACCACAAGCTTAATGTTTGTTTTTTTTTTTAAAGAGACAACATATTTACATTTGGCAAATAATGAGATTTTCTCCTTCATGAAAATAAGAAAATTCAATCCTATTGAATCTGCAATGATCAATAGTACCTAACTAACATGTCTTTCTTTCACATTTACTATTGCCCAGGCTGTTCAAAGGACCTTATGTACATTATCCCAACTGAACCTCAGTACAACCCTAAACTCTGTATTATTCCCATTTTATAGGCAGAAAAATTGAAGCCATTGACTTTGCCAGGTCACACAACTACTAAATGTGGGAAGACCTGGAACATGAATCCAAATCCATGTGACTATAAAGCCCACACTTTTAATCTATGGAGATTCCCCCCGCCACCACCATGGGTCAGCTTTCCCTTCCACTTGATACGGACAGGAGTATAGAATGTGCTCATGAAGCAATTAGGTCAGGCGATGGTATTCTACTCAGCTCCTCCTTTCTTTCTTCAACATTAATGCCATCAAGTTCCCGTCTTAAAATAGCTCTAATAATGGCATAAATGCAGACGCCACAGTAGACAGGTCAAGCACGGACCAGGGTTGTGCTGAACACCTCTGTCTTTTGTAGAAGTTGCTAACTCAGTCACAATTACATCACCACAGACACTCTGAGACTTTAGGCCTTGTCCGTTACACCCTTCTTCAAAAATATTCAGTTCAAATGATTTGCTCTTCTGCCTACAAAACATGGCCAAGTTATCCAGTCACTCTTAAATACCACAGTATTTTGATTTTGTCATTCATTTCCTAAAGTTTACTTTCTAGTGCAAAACCAAAACACTTTCTTCTGGAATCAGGTCCTCCATGATCTGGCTCCGTCTGTATCTCCCACCTCTCCAAAGTGAAGCCCTCCTTGTTCTATGAAAAACCTCCACATTTTTGCTTTAATCATGCCTTTACCTGTTTGCTTCCATGTGGAATGCCCGTTCTTCATTATCTTGACCTGACTGCAAGCCCCAGTAAAAGGATGCCATGTGTTATCAGATAAGCAGGATTCCTTAATCACCGAATTGTCTTTAAATTCTTAAAAAGCACACACTCAAGAACTGACACTTTTAAGCTTTTAACTGTCACTTGATGTTGAGGAAGAACTCCTGTAAATCTTTAAGGTAAGCGACTTGGGATCAATGTTTCATTTAAGAATCAGCCGGGGGTATCCCAGTGGGGCCTCCAAAAAATTTAAATAAATAAATAAATAAGAACCAACCAGGGAAGACAGGAATAGGGATTGCTGGGCATTAAGTTAATAGAAATACAGGACCTGTTTCTAGAATGATGTTGGCACAGGTTCTCTCCTGGGAAAACAAAAGGGACAAGCTCCCTGCCCACCACCACCAACTATAACTTTGCACTGTACTCACAGAAAAACCATCATGAAAGAAAGAACAGGCAAAAGGTTACTTGTTAGGCAGAGAAAAACAAAAAGCCAGGTGTCTAGTCCAGTTATTAGCTCTCTCATTTCTTACCAATAAGGTAGGAATAATAATCTCATATTTCACAAGGCTGCTGTAAGAAGTAAATAAGAAGATAAAAATATGCAAAGCACTCAGCAGGGCCTGACACACAGAGCTCAGTGAAATGTTTTCAGAGAATTTTTATATCTTGGTGGCCAGTTTATTTGCCTTTGTTTCAAAGAGTCCCCATAAAACCTATTCTTTCTCCTCAGCCATCCCTGCTGGGAAGACTCCCTAGGGAGATGCGATGCTTCTTTTACATTGTTAGAATTAGACAGTATAAGAGCTGCACTTTATGACATCTTCAATACTACTCCAATGGGTGTGTATCAGTACATTAGAAGGACGTAAAATACTTTGTGTTCCATATCTCCCCAAACTAATCTTCTATGGAAAGAGGGAGCTCATAAATGTATTTATTAAACATTAATCCTCAAAACACAGACATAGCCACCACTCTGTTAGCATTTTCCCAATAAAGTGGGAGACAATGTTCTTTTAAGTATCTAAAAGCTAAAGGATGGTACTTTCCATCATCTGAGTTTTCTGCTTTTAGCAATCTTTCTTTTTTAAAAACTATAAGAAAAAAAAAGTCTGGTGCCTGAGGTGACTCAAGAGCCTAGTTGCATATCTAAAAAGAGGTGGAGGGGGCAGCCCAGGTGGCTCAGCAGTTTAGCGCCGCCTTCAGCCCAGGGTGTGATCCTGGAGACCCCAGATCAAGTCCCACATCAGGCTCCCTGCATGGAGCCTGCTTCTCCCTCTGCTTGTGTGTGTGTCTCTCATGAATAAATAAATAAAATATTTAAAAAAAAAATAAAAAGAGGTAGACGTGGAGTTGAAGAAGTCATTGTCACGTCATGGGCCTTAGATGTTAAGCACCTCTCTAGCGCTCACTGCTGTATACATGTGCCCATGGCTCTTCTAAAATGCTACTAACAGGCAGGGAAAGCAGATGTCTACAAGTATCTTCTGGAGATTCATTTATTTCTAAGGTACCCAGTAAACATCAAATCTTGAGGCATTTGGCTCGTCTTATGAAGGGGGCCAAAAGAAAAAATAAAAAAGACTGAAGTTCAGGTATCAGTTCAAACCAAGGATTAAGTCCTTTTAAGTCAGGTACATAAAAAATTCTGAGAATATTGAAAGTCATCAGAAAGGAAAACTTTAAATTTAATGAACTGACTGAAGCACACGTAGGCAAAAAAAAAGGTGATCATTAGCAAGGAAACAAGAAACGAAAGAAAGAAAGAAAGAAAGAAAGAAAGAAAGAAAGAAAGAAAGAAAGAAAGAAAGAAAGAAGAAATGGAAGACTGTTTCCAGGTGTGTCAAGAATTGAGGGTTTCAGGAAGGATACCCCAGTGCTAGAATTTCCAAGGCTCATTTGAAGATGGGTGGACAGAACTCAGAAAACAAAGCCTTATGGACAGATGAGTAGTGTTTTAATGAATCTATAGATGTGCATCTGGAATTTTAACATTTGGGTTAGGAGGGCTTCCCCCACATAGAGGCAGGGGAGGGCAAGATGTTTTAAAAAGACTTGAGTTATAAGGGTTGTGCAAAACAGATATAGACAAGAGTCTAACTGCAAACATAAAATTTGCAGAATGACATGCTTATAAGCTCCTGTCACCAGTTATCCCTAATCCCCAAATCCTTTAGTTCTCCCTATTAATATGAAGCCTTCCCTGATGCCAGATAGCAATGAGGCACTCTGCATTTACACGTCAGTTGAGTGCCTATAGTCCATGACCTCCCTGAGTCACTCAGAGATTGGCACTCAATGTCAGAATGAAGGCCACCAACCTTTTCCTTCCCAAACTTCAGGTCCTACAAATCACATAGGGGCCTTGTTAAAATAAGATTCCTGGACTTAAAAAAAAAAAAAAAAAAAAGATTCCTGGACTTCATCCAGATGTATGTACTAAATCAACTCTCCAGAAGGACCAGGGTATCCAATTTATTAATAAACATCCTAGATGGGGGCAGTGGACACCTGGGTGGCTCAGTCGGTTAAGCGTCTAACTTTGGGTCAGGTGCTGATCTCAGGATCCTAAGATAGAGCCCCTCCATGCCTCCTAGCTGGCTCCACGCTCAGCTCAGCTCAGCTCAGCGGAGAGTCTGTTTCTCCCTCCCCTTCTGCCCCTCACCACCCCGCTACGCTATCTAATAAACATATATATTTTTTTAAAGAGCATGCTAAATGGTTCTTTTGATCTGGCAAGTTTGGGAAATTTTCAATTAAACTGTTAAAAAGAAAACAGGCCCCAAATGGAATCACTTGTGCTAAGCCCGCATCATCACCAAACCAAAACTAATACCTAACCTACCTGCAGTTTCAACCGTCTCCAGGAATGTACTCTTAAGGGGCCAGTCTGGAATCTTCTGCTCAGTATTAGTAAGGTATTCTGCCTAACGGACCTCGTCTGTCCCCCAAAGGAAGGTGACCTTGCCTGAAATAATCCTCTTCTCCCCTTTAGGACTTCCTTGTCTCACCCGCCTCCCGCCCCCCCCCCCCCGCTTTTTTAAATAAAAAAACCTTTCTTCTCGTGGTGCTCTTTGGAGCTTCTCTCTACTGGGGACGCTGCCCGATCCATGAATCGTTCAATAAAGCCAACCACCTCTTTAAAAGTCACCTGGCTAAATTACTGTTACTCACAGCAACTCCACACTTTGTTGGTTCTGGCAAGTCACTGGCTCTAAATTACAACCCGGGGGGTCAGGTTCCCCCCGTATTTGAGACGAGGCGTGAGGCGCAAGGTCACGGCGGCTGGGCATCCGCAAGGCGGGTCCCCGCCCCCAGCCCGGGTCACCGGCCGCGGCGCAAGGCCCTGCGCGCCCGGCGCCGGCAGCGCGGGAGACAGGCAGCCGGGAAGGGCCCGCGACAGGCAGGGCCGGCCGGTGCCGCACACCGACTTCTCCCGGCAAAAGCCCGTCGTGCGCCCCAGGAACGTGGCCATGGTTCCGTGCCCCGCGGGGGACAGGGCTGGGAACTGCAAACAGGAGGCTCTAGGGACAAAGGTGGGCCGGAAGGGGACGGTGGGGCAGGCCGGGCTCCCGGGCCTCACACAGCGCTCACCTGCCTCCCGGGCTCGCTCCCGGCCTCTCCGCGACCGCCGGCTTCGCACCTCGCGGCTCTCGCGAGAAGAGGAGGCTGCGGGAGCGCCGGCAGGGCGGAAGTGGCCTGGCCGACCTCCTGGGTCTGTCCGTCGCGTCACCGTCGGCGGCGTGCCCGCTTTCAAGATGGCGGCGGCAGCGGCGGCCTTGTCCGGCGCCCTCGGCCGGGCGGGCTGGAGGCTCCTGCAGCTACGGTGCCTGCCCGGTGAGGGGGCGGCCGAGCGGGGGAGCGGGGAGAAGGAGTGTGGGGGCACGAAGCGGACGGGGCAGGGTGCGGGGCTGAAGAGGCCGTCGTGGCGGCCGGCCAGCAAGGTGACGTGAAGGGCATCGGCGTGGAGCAGCCGGCGTCCTGGGCTCGATTTCTGTCTGCCCCCATCCTCGAGCCGTGAAGGGCAAAGAGTAGCGGAGCAGGGCTTGTCACCCCCATTTAGCGGAGTCAACGGAGGCCCGGAGAGGGCTGTGGGTGCCCAGGGTCACGCAGCGGGGCAGTTGCAGACGGGAGGGCTCGCGCCCAGCCTTCGAATAACTCAACTCCATTGCCGAGTCCCCGGGCAGGGCCCCAGGCGACGGAGGTGGAAGCAGCCGCAGGGAGCTCCTAGTTCACGGTTTCCTAAGTCAGTCGTTTCTTCACCACTTCAGTAATTCTCTGATACCGTACCACCTTTTCCACGACACAATCCGTATTTTCGTTTGTACGTCCGAGTTCTTAAAACTATAGATGTTTGCTTTACAAGAGGTTACTGTATATTGCTACTCTTAAGTGGAAAACCAGCGTCCCCTTCTATGAGTAGAATGAACACACTGACGCATTAACTTATATGCATAAGTAATGAAATAATAAATAATTTCCTGTATCCCATAAGAAATCATGCGACCTTCAGTGGTTCCACACTGATGCTTTGGGACCTCTCCCATCCTTTTCAAAGTTTTAGGAGTATTTTGTCACTTTTTTTTTTGTACAAATACTAAAATATTAATATTTTTACAGTACTGTTCTAAGTTTTTTGTTTGTTTTTAAGATATTACCCGTTTATGAGAGAGAGAGAGAGAGAGAGAGAGAGCATAATCAGGGGCACAGGGAGAATCAGGGAGCCTCACCAGGGCTGGATCCCAGGACTGCTAGATCATGACCAGAAGTGAAGGCAGACACTCCACCGACTGAGCCACCCAGGCACCCCCTATTAGGCGTCTCTTAAAATCATTGTTTCCTGGATTAGTTGGTAGATTTTTTAAAAAATGAGTGTCCTTTTGTTGTTTTTATACAAAAGTCCAAATTAACTATGTTTAGTTAAAGTAATGCCTATGACCCAGCAGAGCCACTCCTAGGTATTCACCCAAGAGAAATGAAAGCAGGGACGTTGAGTGTCTGCCTTTGGCTCAGGTTGTGATCCCGGAATCCCGGGATCGAGTCCCACATCAGGGTCCCTGCAGGGAGCCTGCTTCTCCCTCTCCCTGTGTCTCTGCCTCTCTCTCTGCCTCTCATGAATAAATAAAATCTTTAAAAAGAGAGAGAGAGAGAAATGAAAACATGTGTCCATGGAAAGGTTTGTAGAAGTACATTGATAGTAACTATTCGTGATAGACAAGGCTGAGAAAGCCCAGGTATTCATCAGCACAATCGTGTTTCTTGATGGAATACTACTCAGCAATAAAAAATAAGTTGATTTCCACAAAAATAGGAATCTGTCTAAAAAAGACTGCAAAAAAAGTTTTACACGAAAAGGATATACTATAGGAGTCCATGTAGATGAAATTCTAGGACAGGTTAAACTAGGATGAAAACTTCTGAACAGTATAAGTGGGGGATGACTGGGAAAGAGCATGAGGGAACTTTTTGGGGCTACAGTACACTCTAGCTAAGGGTTCAGGTTACACAAGTTTATACCTTTGTCAGATGTCAGAATTGGCACATTTAAGATTTATGCATTTCATTGTATATAACTGTCACCTCAATAAAAGAACAGTAAATAAATATGAAACTCTGGTTCATGGTACGCATGAATGCATGTTATGCCAGAATGTGTGGAGCTGAAGAATACTGAGGTCTGCAACAGATCCATCAAAAATAAGCTGGGATGGGCAGCCTGGGTGGCTCAGCGGTTGAGCATCTGCCTTTGGCCCAGGGCATGATCCCGGGATCAGGTCCCACGTCGGGCTCCCTGCATGGAGCCTGCTTCTCCCTCTGCCTGTGTCTCTGCCTCCCTCTCTGTGTCTCTCATGAATAAATAAATAAAATATTAAAAAAAAATAAGCTGGGTTAAAAGATTTTAAAAAGCTGGATTGATGAATGAAGAGTGTGGTAGATCCGTAGAATCTAGGTGGTGGATATACAGGTGTTCATGCCATAGTTCTTTCAACTTGTATGAGATTTTTTGTAATAGGGGCACCTGGGTGGCTCAGTCAGTTAAGCATCCAACTCCTGATCTCAGCTCAGGTCTTGATCTCAGGGTCGTGAGTTCGAGCCCTGTGCTGAGCTCTACACCCAGCATGGAGCCTACTTAAAAAAAATGTTGTAATATAATGTTGGGAAAGGAAAAAAATAGTACGAGCCCGTACTTTCCAAATCCCTTTCTCTGGTAAACGGGGGTGTTGCAGGTATTGCCAATAAGAAAACAGCTTAGTGATCTGTATGAAGGTATAAACATTGTGGGAGTTAGTACTCACAGACTTTCTAATTTCTAGTCCAGTGCTCTTGCTATGATATAAATATGCAACATTTATGCTTTCACTTTTTGATTGCTCACAGCACTCTGGTTGAGCAAACAGATTATTACTCTTGATTTGCATATTTTAAAATCATGCTTGTTGGGGTGAAGTGGTTTGTCCATTAACATAGTTAGCAAGTGATAGCAGCAGGCCCAGAAGCCAGGTCTTCTGTTACCTGGCTCCTGCTTTTGCCACCACATCATGTTGCAAGGTTGCCAATTTACCCTAAATTTTTGTCTGGGACCAACACTTGGATAAGTGATTCTGGAGTAGACTCTTCCCCCATCTTTTGCACCATTCAAGGTTTCAAAGAGTCTTCTCTGGTAAGTGTCCCTGACTGACAGCCCAGTTTTTGTTTCAGCGTCCCGTTGCCAGTCAGCTGTGGTATCACGTGCCTTCCATGCTTCCACTATGCAGCTAAAGTCTTCAGATGAGCAGAAGCAACAGCGTCCCCAATCTTTTTCTCAGCAACAGTCTGAAACACATGAGGCAGAAGAACCCAATCCAGAATCTTCTCGTTCACCCCCCAGGTATGCACCAGAGCCCCAAGTCCATCTGTTTCTGACCATTTTGCATGCTTGGGTATGTCTGGCCTTCCTCTCCTTCCTCTCTCCTCTTTATCCCCATTTTCACCTTCAATCATTTTCAGGGCCATCTGTGAACAGAACCTATGTTTTTGGTTTTTGTTTTTTTTTTTTTTAACCTATGAGTTTTTTTGAAAATTGTACCTGTCCACTCTAAAATAACAATACAAAGAAGTTCAGAAAAATAAAGCAGAGATGACCAGAAATCACAAACCCAGAAATAACTTTTTTGTGAATATGCTTTTAGATGTTTTTCTTTTTCTTTTTTTTAGATGTTTTTCTAAGTATGTTACATGCATAAGTCTACATATAACTAGTGATTAATTATACCATCTACTAAACATGCTATTCCAGAAACTTTTTCACTCAATAGCACATTGTTAATGTTTTCTCATTCTATATGATTTTAATGGTTGCATAATATTCCAGTAAAGGGCAGTATTAAAATTTACTTAACCTATTTTTTATTGATGAATATATTTATTTATTTTTTAAAATATTTTATTTTAAAAAAAAGATTTTATTTATTTATTCATGAGAGACAGAGAGAGAGAGAGAGAGGCAGAGACACAGGCAGAGGGAGAAGCAGGCTCCATGCAGGGAGCCCAATGTGGAACTTGATCCTGGGTCTCCAGGATCATGCCCTGGGCTGAAGGCAGCGCTAAACTGCTGAGCCACCCTATTGATGAATAGGGCTGCCCTATTGATGCCCTATTGATGAATTTATTAATTAATAGATTTCCTTCACTGCTATAAAAAATGATGTCATTATCTCTCAGCAGTGGGAGCACCTAATAAAAGGATGTGCAGATTTAACATTTTATTACATAAGTGGGGCCAAATTGCCCTCTCGGAAGGTGATAATAGTTTACATTTCCATTAGATATCTTTTCTTCTTAATCCTGCCACTGAGAAGTTCCTCTACCTCTGATATTAGGGTGTTCCTGTTATTTTTCTGGTCTCCTAATTAAAGTACTTTTCATTTCAATTCAGTAAATATGTTTTGAGGAACTACTTTGTGCCAGCCCTGTGAATACTAGAAGCATTGTCTCTGCTCACGGAGTTATCATTTAGCACAAATACAGATAAAGAAATGGTGCGCTAAGGGCTATAAACAGAGAAATCCAGGGTACTGTGGGAGCATTTGCCTTCAAATGACATGGCCTCCTCACTCACTGGATCCCTCTCCCCATGACTATAGGAGAGGAGAAAGATAATATAATTTTTATTCTGTCACCATGGAAATATCAATACCGCCACAAAAGTAAATGTCTTCCCAGTGTGTGCTCAGAGAAAGCACAGAGTCTCCGGGTTCCGGTCAGGCACCTTTTGCCTGTCAGGCAGCAGTCAGTGAGATGAGGTGTGTTGGGCTCCATCACCATTTCTCTGTTCTGTGTGGGTTTCAGGTACACAGATCAGGGCGGTGAGGAGGAAGAGGACCATGAGAGTGAGGAGCAGTTGCAGCACCGCATCCTGACCGCAGCCCTGGATTTCGTGCCTGCCCACGGGTGGACAGCAGAGGCAATTGCAGAAGGAGCCCAGGTGTGTATAGGACAAGGTGGGCCAGCCTGACCAGGATTGGCCAGGAGGGAGTCACACCATCCAGAGCAGAGGGCCTCATGCTTTCTTCTGGCCCAACTTAGAGCCTCTCACTTCCATAGGATTTTGTGTGGGGAGGTTGTTTTTTCCTCAGTAGAGTGAAATGGCTTTCTTTTAGTATGGAAAGATTATACCAGGGACTTGGTTCTCGTGACCTAGGTTCTAAAGGCAGCCCATTAGGCAGGCATTGCCGATGATCACAACTATCACATTTCATTGACTCTAAGACGACAGTGCTTGAAGATGCACCATTTTATGCATCACTAAGAAAGAAAAAATGCTACCTAATAAATTAGGACACATTGTCAATTGCATAATTCACACTGATTGTTTAAATTGAAAAACTGGGGGGCCCCTAGGTGGCTCAGTCAAGTAAGCACCTGACTCTTGGTTTCAGCTTAGGTCATGGTCTTGGGGTTATGAGATTGAACCCTGAGTTGGTCTCCCTGCTGAGCCAGGAGTCCACTTGAGATTCTCTCCCTCTCCCTTTGCTCCCTCCACCCACCCCCAAATAAATAAATCTTTAAAAATAATTTTAGGCCTCTGGCCCTGGGACGGCATGGCAGGACCGGCGCCCCGGGGTGGATGGGGGTGGTAAAAAAAAAAAAAAAAAAAAAAAAGAAAAATAATAATAATAATAATAATAATAATAATTTTAAAATGTGGCACCTGGTTGGCTCAGTTGGTAGAGCACGTGACTCTTGATCTTAGAGCTGTGAATTTGAATCCCACACTGAGTGTCAAGATTATTTCAAAATAAAAATCTTAAGAAATAAAATGATAAAATGGGTACATCTTAGAATTGATGAAATCTGGTGTTTGAAAACACTCAAGAAGGCACTACTTAGGAGACCAACACCTTATTTTTCTCAGGACTTTCCTTCTGTGTTGGAATAGATGGCTGCTTTAGATTAACCCTAGGCTCATATTGAGGCCACAGTGTACAGAATTGTTAAGCATAGCTGGATACTGTCCTGCAAGAGCTCTGTGAGAACAAAGAGCATTCACTTCTCCCATCCTAAGCTTGCATGAGAAATAGGATGGAAGGTTGAGCATGTTTAAACACTAGCCAGAAGAATGCAGAAACAAGGGTGAGGTACAAGTATAAGAGAAAGTGGCAAAATCAAAAGTCCAAAACCCCTTGAAGGCAAGAATTAGAAGATCAAGAACATGAGTGGGAGGACATGTCTTAGATGTATTAGGGATGATGTTGGAGAAGACAGCTGCAGGTTTAGTTTCTAGAATATTAAGGGAGTTACTGGGGGATAGCTCCTGTTCTCTGTGAAGTAGGTGTGGTTGTCTCATGAATCTTAAGTTAGGAGAGAGTAGGAGGAGACAAAGGTTTGAGGGTGGCACAGAATGTTGGAAAGAATCATTGTAGGAAGTGGTAGAACAAGTAGAGAACAGAAATGTAGCAGGATGTTGAGAGAACGCTTACACAGAATTATTCTGTGGGAAACTGGTCTTTTTCACTCTGTCTTTATTCATAGTGGTTACGTAATTCACATTGTATTTACTTGACTTCAACTGATAAACATTTGGGTTGTTCCCATTATTTAGTATTCTAAACCAATTTATACAACATTATAAGTGCATTTGGAGAAGTGGAGTTGCTATTTCAGGGAGCATTTCAGTCAGGGGACAGAAACCACACCGGTTATTCAGATAGAATTTCATACAAAGAATGGTGAGCTAGGTGTAAAGTTGGTAACCAGCTCACTGACAGCATAAAAAGAACCCTCTAGGGTGTTAGGGAGGCTGCCGCCCCGGAAAGTGGCTCCCATCTCCAAGGCTAGAGAGACAGAGGGAAAAAGGGTACTTGTTAAAATGAGAAGCTTGAAGGATAGCCCCTTTGGAGGCCAAACTCAAACCTCTGAGGAGGAGATGCTACTCAGCTGGCACTGCTGTCTCTTAAGTTCAGAGAGAGGGTCCCTTGGGGCTGGTACCCAACCTCTGGGGGCAGGGAGGAAGGTGGTGGCTTGCTGGAACCAGTTCTGCAGGTGCTGAGAAAGGTACAGTCCAGGCTCAGCTACAGCCACAGAGGGGAAGTGCCGCTGCCCTGGTGAAGAAGGTGGTGAAGCGCGGCTGGGGAGATGCCCACAGGAGCCTCTAGCAGACAGGACCATATGCAGTCTTCCTCCTCCTCCAGCCTTCGGCTCTCCCTCCAGCCACCCACTTGGCAGAGCCTAACATGGAGCTGGGATTGTGGCTTGTGGAGCTGCAGCCCCCACGTCATGAAGCTGAGGCAAAGAGGGCAACTTTGGGGCTGACAGTAATTCATCACCTGGTCCAAAGAGTATGCGTGTATTTGTGTGTGTGTGTGTATGTGTGTGTGTATTTAAATATTTTTTTATTTAAGTAATCTCTACACTCAACATGGGCTTAAATTCACAGCCCCGGGGATGCCTGGGTAGCTCAGGGGTTGAGCATCTGCCTTTGGCTCAGGGTGTGATCCTGTGGTCCCAGGATCGAGTCCCACATAGGGCTCCCTGCATGGAGCCTGCTTCTCTCTGCCTCCCTCTGTGTCTGTCATGAATAAATAAAATCTTAAAAAGAAAAATTCACAACCCCAATTTCAAGAGTTGCACACTCTGCCCACTGAGACAGTCAGGCAAGCAAATGTGTATATTTTTGAGGGTCTTGTTGCCTACCTAGTAGAAGCAGCATAGCCCAGTGGTGAAGAGCTCTGAGCTCAGTTCCCTCGTCTAAAAAGCTGGAATTGCCACAAGGTCACGGTGAGATCATGTGAGTCCTGTGCTTAGCAGAGTGCCTGGCACAGTTAAGCATACAGTCCCTGTTAGTATTGATGCACTGCAAGTCTGCTGTGAATCCTGCCAGGTTGCTCTCTGTAGAGACTGTGGACTTCCACCAAGACAGAGGCACTTTCCCACTCCCAGCAGTGGGGATTAGAGTTCATAAGTTTTTTGTTCCTTCTCTGCCCTTTGTCCCTGGTGCTGTTGGGTTCTGCCTTTAGTAGACGCTCAATGATTGCCATATATCAGGAATAGTAAAGGATTTTCATGGCTTTGTTCACTTAACTCATTAAGAAAAATGGTTGGTTGGTTGGTTTATGTAGCAACTGAGAGGCTTAATTTCCAGGAGATTTAGGTTAAGTCAATTGGTGAGGAAGAGCTGATTGCTCTTCCCAGCCGCTCTTTTATATCATGTAGGACTCTAGGATATGAGTGTCAGAGCTCAATTCAAACTGGCTCAAGCAGGAAAGGGAATGTTTGGGCTCATTTAATAACAGAAAAGTTTGGAAGTAGCTCCAGCACAGTGTTCTTAGATTGTGCTGCTGGGAATCGTGTCTCCATCTTCTCTGTTTTGCTTTCCTTTCTGTGAGCTTCATTCTCAGCAGGGATTTCCCAGGCAGGACTAAAAAGGGTTCAGGAGCCCCAGTAAAGAGAGAGCCCTCCTTTTCCAGCAGCGCTGGTGGGATTCCAGAGGCAGCCTCTTAGGGCCTGGACCTGGTCTTGTGCACATCCCTGAGCTAGTCACTGGGAACTCCAGTTATCCAAGCCTGGATCTCAGACTCTCCAATACACCAAGGGGCTTGATGAGTATGGAGGGACAGCTGGTCAGCCTCACCCAAATCACATGGACCAGGAATGAAGAGTAGGGTTACCCCATTAAAAATCAAGCTGCTATAACTGGAAAAAGAGGCACTAGTGAGGAACAGGCAGCATAGGTCCACTACATTTGTCTACCAATTTCTTGTTTTCTGTCTCCTTTTGTAGTCTCTGGGTCTGTCCAGTGCAGCAGCCAGCATGTTTGGGAATGATGGCAGTGAACTGATACTGCATTTTGTGACCCAGTGCAATGCTCGACTCACTCATGTGCTTGAAGAGGAGCAGAAGCTGGTCCAGCTGGGCCAGGCAGAGTAAGTCCTATGGTATTATTGCTCAGGGTGGCAACTAAGGATCAGGCGGGGCTGAGGCCCCACCAGCTGCCCCGGGAGGTCAATCCAAGCAGAGCCAAAAGAGAGGAGCATTGAGCAGCCCTGCTGCTTTGATGGGCCCGGAAGACAGCTGCCTGTCTCTGACAGGCCAACATCAGGAGCTGGTGGGACCCTCCTCCCTAGAGCCAAGTAAGCATGGACACTGAGCCCATGCCTTTGACACAGAGACACACTGTTTTCTTTTCCCTCTTCCAGGAAGAGGAAGACAGACCAGTTCCTGAGGGATGCAGTGGAAACCAGACTGAGAATGCTGATCCCGTACATTGAGCACTGGCCCCGGGTACAGAGTCCTTATCTAGGCCCCAGGGCAACAATGTATTCACGTTCTTAGTTCTCAGCACTTAGCACTCAGAGGACCTTGCACATTCTTCAGAAGTTAACTCACTAATCTGCACAGACCTGGGGATTCTGGGATTCTCAGTGCACTAGAGCTAGGGAGTGCAGACTGGGGAGTGCCCTAGGAAGTAACTGAGCCATCTGGGTCTCAGTGCCTAGAAATGTGAGTGGTCTGAGTACTGGGTCACATCTGTGTTGGGACCTAGTAGCCCGAGTGTGCCACTAGATCTTTGGTGAGGAGGAATCCATGAAGGAGATTAGAAAATGAGAAGGTTTTATTGGCCTTCAACATTAACAAGCCTGACATGTTCTGGATGGCAGAGGAGTGGGAGGTCTTTGCCACTTGTCAGTGGGATGCTTGAGAGTTGGAGTATTCGTTCTGAGGGCTTTTTTTTAATCCCCTTTTCTGAAACTTCCTCTTTTTTATTGCAAAGCATGTCACAGTGTGGGCCATTCTCTTAGTTAAGAAAATGGAGTCAGAGCACATAAGGAACGAGAGGACATGGGGCACCTGGGTGGCTCAGTGGTTGAGCATCTGCCTTTGGCTCAGGTCGTGATCCTGGGATCGATTCCCATATTGGGCTCCTGGGGGAAGCCTGCTTCTCCCTCTGCCTATGTCTCTGCTTCTCTCTGTGTCTCTCATGAATAAATAAAACCTTTTTAAAAAAAGAAAAAAAAGGAATTAGAGCACAGCAGAGACCATCCCATGTTCTCCACCCAGCTGGTATACCACTGAGCATGTAGTATCAGCCAGTCAGGCTGCATGTGGAGGGAGTACAGTGAGGCTAAGCCCCACTGCCTGCCTGTGCTTGCCACACTTGATTTTCAGACCTCTGGCCTTGACTCATTCCACCTTGCAGTTAAAGCAGTGGAAGTACATGTATTGGGCCCTGGCTGCCTTCTGATTCAGCACGTTTTCTTCAGGGCTCCTTCACTAAGAGAAAACTTCCCAGCCAATCCAGGGCCTCTGATCAGCTTCCAAAGGCCACAGCCAATGGATTTTTGAGTTGGTAAAGTGACAAAACCTTGTCCTCTCAGGAGTCGATGTTTGCTAAGGCATCATCCCTGGGTTGTGCCATTGCTTGCATGAATGAAGAATTTTTAGTTTCTGGTACCAGAAACCAACTTGAGTTAAGCAAAACACCAGGGAGGAATTTATTGTGAGGCCTTGGGGGGGCATTGAAGGCAGGAAAGCTGCTGGGCCCTGGGAATGGCCTGGGATTTGGACCTAAAAACCACCCCTGACCCTCCTATCTCTACTACTTCCTCCCTGTTGCTGAACAAAGTGCCCTGCCCCATCCTTGCTCTCAGTACTGTCAGAAGGACCAGGCTAGACCCTCCGGCTGCCTGCCTTCCCAAGTCCACATGCTGGGGTTGAAGAAGCTGAGTGGGCCAGCCCAGGGTAGGATCTGTCCCTGACTCCTATCAGCTATAGCCAGGGCTATTAGCTGCCAGAAGCTCACAGCAGTCAGGTGGGGATGGTAGGTGTCAGGAGACTTGGGCAGGCCCTCTTATTCCATGGAGGGGTGAGGCACCATCCACCTTGTGTGCTGGTGTCCCTCTATGTGGTACCTATTTTTCTGTCATTCTCTCCTCAGGCCCTCAGCATCCTCATGCTCCCTCACAACATCCCATCCAGCCTAAGCCTGATCACCAGTATGGTGGATGACATGTGGCATTACGCTGGGGACCAGTCCACTGACGTGAGTGTTTTCTGCAAATCTAAAGGGTACCAGGAAAGGCTTGGGTTAAACATTTCTTTAGGAAGTTTGTGAAAGTTCTTTGATCACAGTTCCCTTTGGGGAGCCTGCAGTGCCATTCCCATCTTGGAAAGGAGAGGCTAGGCATGGGAAAGTTCCCTCGAGAAGCCATAGTGGGAGCCAGGTCTTCACTCAAGGGCTAGCAATCTGGCCACAAACCAGCAGTTTTTCCCTTTGACTTCTAGTGGTGATGCAAGCCTTAGAGGGCCAGGGGACTGGGGTGCTATTTTATAAGCATTTTCCCCTTGGTCTCCTAAGATTCAATTCTGCAGTGGGCTTTCTCAGTGTGTCTTTCATTAGACTGATTTTAAAAAGGTTGGGTGGGGGGGGTGTCGCCTGGATGGCTCAGTTGGTTAGGTGTCCCACTCTTGATTTCACCTTGGGTCTTGATCTCAGGGTCGTGAGTTGAGTTCTGTGTTGGGCATGAAGCCTACTTAAAGAATGCCATGGAGCCACCCATTGCTTTGAAAAGGAAACTCCCTCCCCCCAGCCCACTTTGGCCTGCTTTGCCAAGAGATCAGTAAGCCTTTAAACAGGCACGAGGAAATAATCTGACTTGTTAATGCTATCGTATTTCTGGTAGGAAGTTAAAAAATAAAAGTATACCTTCATAAAAGAAATTAATATGTGATGGTACTTGGTGAAATCCAGGCTGAGGAGCAAAGAGATGCTCCTGCCACAGTTTTAACAAAGGACTTTAATAAGCTCCTCTCGTGTGGGAGTACACCACCAACAGAGTTGGTGAGAAAATGAAATTAGAAAGCTGAGAAATTAAAGGAATAAAACATGAAGCAGCTGAGCTAGTGCTCCAAAGAGCAGTTTGCTGGGCCAGCCCGAAGTGGTGGAGGTGTTCTGTTCTGTCCGTGGTCCTGTGTCAGCCCTCATGTGACTGATGAGCACACCACAGTGTGGTCATAACTGGCTAACCATAGAGCCTCTCCAGCATTTAGGTGACCTCAGACTTAGTCTTTTCACCCGCAGTTTCAAAGTGGACTGGATATAGCAAAATCACCTGGGATGCTTATCAGACATCCAGATTCCTTGCACCTACTTCAGACCCCGGGCTCTAAACTCTTAAGAGGTTAGGCCCAGGAGCTTGCATTTTAATCTCCCAGGTAATTTTGATGCCCAGCAAGTTTGAGAACAGTAATATTATCCAGGGGGAACAAAGGTACCTTTGGGGGAAAAGAAGAGATCAGGAGAGAGCCCGTGTGTGCCGCTGGTTTGGGGTACAGTCCACAGCAGTAGTGGTGACTCACCTTCCTGGCTGGGTTCCTTTGCAGTTTAACTGGTACACCCGCCGAGCCGTGCTGGCTGGCATCTACAACACGACAGAGCTGGTGATGATGCAGGACTCGTCCCCAGACTTCGAGGACACTTGGCGCTTCCTGGAAAACCGGATTAATGACGCAATGAACATGGGCCACACTGCCAAGCAGGTAGTTGGGGCTGGCCCTTTGGGAAGCCTCCTCACTAGGCACACCACCCTCCTTAGGCCATGGCTACTCACTTGTCTGTTCTCTTGCACTACTTTGGCCTCAAAGGACAGTCCTGAGGGCCAGTCCTGGGAGTTGGCCTGGCTCTTCCTCATACCAGCCCTTCCCTGAGAGCCACACTTGGGCCATTTTTGGTTCTGTTCATAGGCTTTTCCTCCAGTCCGCAGGGTCCTCATGAGCCCCTCCTGATTTGTCCTACCTGTTTCACCTTTGAGCTTGTGTTGGGGTCTTAAGAGAACCTGACCTTGACTCTTCTAGGTAAAGTCCACTGGAGAGGCACTGGTGCAGGGACTTATGGGTGCAGCAGTGACGGTGAGTACTGCTTTGCTCAGGCCTGCCCTCCTGTTCCACTCCTGCCCTGTAATCCTTAGAACATGCGTCAAAACCAGAAAGCTACTAATAAGACTGGCAGTGGTTCACCCCCAGTCTCCGATCCTGAATTCCCTACCTCTTCTGCACCCCCCCCCCCCGCCCCCACCTCGTTAAAAAACATCGCTGGCACCTGGGGCCCTGGTGTGTCAGATGTGTGGGTCTTAGCTGTGCCTGCCACCTTGAAAATCCCAATCTTTCCCATTGGAGTCTTAGGGACAGGGCAAGGCCTCATCATTGTTTTCTTCCCTGTATCAGCTCAAGAATCTGACAGGTCTAAACCAGCGCCGGTGAGCGGGACAGCGTGTGAGCTAGAGTGCCCAGAAGAAAAGCTACAGATATATTGAAAGGGCTTTGAAAACTATGAAGTGCCGTCCATGGAACAGGGTGTTAATGGGAAAACACTGAAGGACTCCTTAGTCACTCTGACAGCCACCTGGAAACCACAGAGCACTTGATACACCTACAGCTGTAGCCTATAATCAGGCTACTTCTTTAGTTCCAAGTGCTAGGCCAAGCCTCCTGATGCTTCTCTTCATTGCAGCTGGGTGACTGAAAAATGAGGCTCTCATCCATTCAAGCCACAGAAACCCAGCACATCTGTATCGTGATCTCACAGATACTTTGATCATGTCTTAACCTTCCTAGAGTGTTCTCTGGGGCTCCCAAATCGGAGTCAGGGTGTGAAGCCATTACAAGGTGGCAGCCCATCCCTAGCACGGCACAGGCTTGTGCACACAGGTGTTCCTCACACCCCCTCTCCTCTCTGGCGTCCTGAGATGCTGCACCTGGGAACCCCTTAAAAAGCTGCCTCACCTGAGACCAGTGCCTCCGGGCAGTGGTACTCAGCCTGGCTAGAGGTGGGAACCCAGGCCTGTTGTTGTATTACACCAGTATGTGTGGCAGGGTTATTAGTGAACTTAAGAGTCTGTAAAAATAGTAATAAATATGTTGGAAGCAGGTTTGTGTTGGCAGTTAGTTTCCATCTGGGCCCCAGCAGGGTGTCCAGGACCTCAGAGGGAGACAGCAGTGATGCGGGGAAGGCTTGAGGCTGGCAGCCAGGAGACCTGGGTTCTGGTCCTTGTGCGGCCTACTGCTCATGGGTGGGTATGGCAGCTCTGCCTCACTGGGCCCATGCTTCCCTTCCGGAAGTGTGCGTCACAGTGGCCTTCCCCTTCACCATGAGCTCTCTTGGCTGCTATTTTCTATCGCTAATCTTTTCAGTGATCTGTTCTTTAGCATTAATAATTTCCTCTATACACTGGCTGGGCTCCCTTTGCAAGTCTGGTTAACTCCGTTGTCATAGTGTTCTTGGGCTGTTATAACAGGATACACTCCTGTTGGGGCAACTTAACGTGTTTCTCACAGTCCTGGAGGCTGGGAAGTCCAGGATCAAGGTGCCAGCCAGATCAGTTTCTGGCGAAGTCTAGCTTGCCACCTTTACTCTGTGTTTGAACAGGGCAGAGAGAGAGAACTACAATGTCTCCTCCTGTTCTTACAAGGGCACTATTCCTACCCTCCTGGCCTCCCAAAGACTCCCATCTCCAAATACCACACTGGGTGCTAGGCTTCAGCATTTGAGAGGGACACAATTTAGTTCAGAGCTTCTATCTTCTGCATTATGTCCAACCTAAGTTGACTGGGTATTGATGGCGGGGGGGGGGGGGGGGGGGTCACCAGCTAATAGGTGTTTCCAATCTTGGCCTTACACCAGCCCTTCTCTGTACCTATTTAATTCTTTGTATCATGACTCCCTGTCAAGTCCCCTACAGTAGCTATTCCAAATTTTATTCCATTCTTTATCCTTCATAGCATCCTTCCTGCCCTCAGCAGACAATCTTAATCCTTAATTTCCTGAGATGACACAGGCTATGAAGCACAACCCCCTTCAGTACCCTTTCTCTCTGTCTCAGAAAGAGTCACCTCCAGCTAAGGCAAATTCTTTATCTCCTCTCTTACTCTTCAGCCCCCTAAATGGAGCTCCTGCTAAGTTCTATTTTCAGAACCTCTTCTGTGTTATGAGTGGCTGCCCATTCAAACCTTTCTCCAGGCCGTTGGGGGGTGGAGCTTTGGTAATGTCTTAAGCATCCACCCTCTGAGGGGCACTGTGCCAGGCATGCAGAGTCGCCGCGTGGAGATGACTGCCACCCACCTGCCATAACTAGGCAATCTGCGAATGATGCGTTGAGATAAAAAGCAGCATATCTTCCTGCAGTTTCAGAAGAGTATGAGCCAGACTTTGACGAAGTTACACTTAATGTTCTTCCATAAATGTGCAGATTTACTTCATCCCCTTAAAGGCGTCCTAGTATTCCTGTGGTCGTGTATTCCACGTGGTCTCTGTCAACAGACAATTCGTTTTGTTATCTTTGGCCGTTATGAACAGTGCTGCAGGGAGCGCCCCCGAACCTGTCTTCGCTTACGACTGCGGGCATTTTCGCAGTATGAATTCCTAGAAGTGTTGCTGTTGAGTGGAGGGCGAGCACACGTTTTGCCAATTCCCGCCCGCGCCTGGCTGGACCCGGTGCGCCCAGAGCCGCGGCGGCCTCCCGGCGACAGGCGGCGCTGTAAGCGCGAGGCGGCGGCGGGGGCGGCGCGGGCCGCGCGGGCCCACTTCCGGCGGCGGCGGCGGCGGCGGCGGCGGCGGCGCCGAGTCCCAGCGGGCGGCGGGCCGGGGGGCGCCATGCCGTATGCCAACCAGCCCACCGTGCGGATCACCGAGCTTACCGACGAGAATGTCAAGTTCATCATCGAGAACACGGACCTGGCGTAAGGCCCTGAGGGAGGAGGCGGGCGGCTGCGGAGCGCGGGGGGCTGGGGCCCGGGCCGGGCCGCAGAGCGGGGCGTCCGCCTTGGGAGGGGGGCGCGGGGTGTCGGCGTCGAGGCTGCGGCGCGCTCACGCCGCTTTGTTTGCATCCCTCAGGGTGGCCAACTCCATCCGGAGGGTCTTCATCGCCGAGGTGCCCATAATAGGTAAGCGAAAGCCGCCTGTCGTGGCCAGCCCCCTCCGCACACCTCGGGCCCTGCCCCCAGCCCTTGGTTGGGCCGGGGTTGGGGCGGCGCGGCGGTGGCTCTGAGACGACAACAGTGCTGGGCATTCGCTCGGACCCTGTACCCTGGGCCCGGGGCCGCTAGGGTCCACTCCTAACGTACGGATCGGCGCAGAGTGGACGGGAGTCTGCGTACTCGGGTGTGAATCCGTCCCGTCTGCACGTAGGGAACGTAGAAGCGCCAGGCAGTGTGCTAGGAACTGGGGACCCAAAGCTGCATAGTGCGGGGTTCTTGCCCTTGTGGAGCGCACAGTGAAGTTGCAGGGCAGAGGCGAGTCCACAGATGACACGGCTGTGGGACAGATGTGCATCAGCAAGCAGTTCAGGAGAAGTATGACTGCAGCGCTTCGGTGTTTGGAGCAAAGAAGATCTGCTTTAGTTCCAGCAACCCTACCTCGGTGTTCTTTATGTGTATAAATATTACAAGTATTTTCTGAGTGTTGACTCGTTTGGGTTGGAAAACGAAGTGTAACTTCTGGCTGCTGCACTTCCTAAGGAAATGAGCAGGCCACATGATTGGCAAATGAAAGAACATCGCAGTCTGCACTACCGTCATCCCCAGTCACTTCTTCAGCTTGGAGTGCTGGTTCTCCCCCCTCCCTAGTCATTCCAAGTCTCTGGGTCTCAATTTTATCATGAGTAAAATAAGGAAGTTGTGCTTTATGATGCAGCCCTGATGTTACAAGTCTAAACGGCACTCTTCCCACAGATTCAGTTCTGCAAGTAATACTGAGCACCTGTTACATTGCAGGCCACACTGGGAAAGCCAAAGGCGTTTGAAGACTCCACCCTGTCTGATTTTTGCGGTAGAGACAAGACATACACAAATATAACACAAGGCAAAAATATGACAAATGTCTTTAGTCTGGTCAGAGTTTTGTGAGGGAGTATTAGTGTCTGTTTCGTGGAGGTCAGGCAAGGCTTGGTTTATAGGAGGCTCAGAGGATCCTAACTTCCCCAAGGGAGGGTAAGGTCATGTGGGGTTGGAGGGAGTAAGAAGACAGAAAAGCTTGGCTCATGGGTCTTATCTGACTTGGGTTGGGGAAGCATTAGCGTAGGACAAAGCAGATTGGGTCCTAAATGTCTAGTCCTCTTCTGACTCCCATTCCTAGTGTCCACACCCTTTATTTGGTAGTTGGCCACTTATGAATTTGTTTGCGTATAGATATTTTATTTATAAATGAATATGTTTTTAAGTCAAGTGTGTGTGGGAATACAGTCCTTACCTTTATTAGCTCGTTGCTGGTAGGAATTGAATTTGATACTTAGTATGCTGTGCCCACTGAATTCTTTAAACGTTAGTTGATAAAGACTTAAATTGGGTAATCTGGTCATTGCATCATAAAATGAGATATGGACCATAAGTCTGGTTTTTTGTGAGATTTTCTCTATTTTAAGTGCCCATGTAGTTTTTGTTTGATTTGGTGTTGACGTGCATAGCAGACATACATGCTTCCTACAGAAATAGCTCAAGGAAACATGTTCCCAATCCCATGATTAGTATCCCTTAGTATTCTCTAAGTCAGTATTTTGAGTGGGACAGCACACCTCCCACCCCTACCCTCACTCTGCACTAAATCTGAGTAGGGAAGGGAGCTGTGTTGCATGTGGATCTTGTTAAAATGCAGATCCCTTGTCCCCACTAAAGCTGCAGAATCAGCCTCTGGCTGCCTAGCCCAGGCCTCTGTAATTTAGTAAGCATCAGGTGATTTTTAAATCAGGAGAATAACTGCTGTAAGTCTTTAAGTAGATTTGGTGGCTAAACTGCATGTTTGCTTGCCTTATTTTTTAGCCATTGACTGGGTCCAAATTGATGCCAATTCCTCAGTCCTTCATGATGAGTTCATCGCTCACAGACTTGGTGAGTGCTGGGTGTTGAAAGGTGAGAGGGAGGGGGCTGTGCCTGACGTCAGAGGAGGAAGCCTCACTCCCATAGGGATTTCTAGGTTCTCCTTTAGGCTTGGCCATTGCCATTTGGACTTTTTTTTTTTCTTTTTCTTTTTAATAAAGATTTTATTTACTCATGAGAGACCCAGAGAGAGAGAGAGAGAGAGAGAGAGAGAGAGAGAGAGAGAGGCAGACACACACACAGGCAGAGGGAGAAGCAGGCTGCATGCAGGGAGCCTGACATGGGACTCAATCCCGGGTCTCCAGGATCACACCCTGGCCTAAAGACGGCGCTAAACTGCTGAGCTACCCAGGCTGCCCGATTTGGACTTCTTTAAATTGCGTTTCTGTTTCTTCCAGGACTAATCCCCCTGACTAGTGATGACATTGTGGACAAACTGCAGTATTCCCGGGTATGTTGTGTGATTGGGTGGAAGGGGCAGGAAGGAAGCAGTTCTCAGAGGCATTTTCCTGACCTCTTACTTCCAGCTGGAGATCATGGAGATGTTGCGTAGAGCCTAAGCAGACACAGGGCCTCAGTTCCGACAGGCCTCAGATTGTTTAGGCTTCAGGGGGCATCAGGGAGTCTCTCCAGCCACACAAGATGGGGGATATACACCAGAATACCCATTTATACTCAGCAGTGGGGGCAGTACCTTTTCAGAGTCTAATCTATTCAGACTGTTTTCCAGGGTGTCCTTCTCCGTGATAGGAGCCTGGAAGGCTAAAGAGAGTCAACAGAGGGTGAGAACAAAGAAAGGGAGTGGGAACTGTCCCCCATAGTAGCACCTGAGAGACTGGAAGGCTGACATCTGTCAGATACATGCCTCTCCCTGTAGGTAATGCTCATTAAACATGCCCCTTCCTCAAGGGTCATGTTTGTTCCCTGATATGTTAACAGGCCTTGGACTTGGCAGGAGTGGTTCAGGATTAAGTTCCCTGCTTCTTTTCCCCAGTGCTGTGTTAGGCAACAGTTTGAGACTCTTCTCTCTTGGTGGCTTTGGATGATCCTTAATCAGCGCATC